AAATTGACTAGGCCGACGTAAGCACCCTTGCGCGTGCTTTCGTATACATCTCGTACGTATATTTACGCGCCGTATCGCCGTGTCGTCTTTTATATTCGTTTTATCAAAGAAACAACGCGCGCGATGACGAGATTATACGTAACTAAATTTTTTCTCATTGCGAAATCGTCGGTGTTTGCTGCACGTTTTTTGCGAGGAACGCAAGAAAATGAGATACCTGTTCTCCAACGGCGAATAAAAGTAAAACACGCGTCTCGCCGTCATCCAGAATGCAGAACAACCGCGGAGTTTTGATGGAGTCTGAATAACTGCAAAGAAACTATATAGATATTCCACCGCGGCGAGAACAAGAGGAAAATTTCTTAATCCCCGGTGTACAGGCGAGGGGGGAAGGAGGGGGATGTCGCGCCGTTTTAGCAAACCATAACTTTCCGAGACTTTAAACGACGAGGAAGAAAACCGATTTAACGCGGATTATTATTTCGTTTTCACGCGAAAGAAAAACTGCGGTTCTCATCGTCGCTGGAAGTATTTACACGTAAGCGCAATATAGCGAAAAGAGAGTAAACGTTACGTATTTTCAAACGGATGCAACTACCCGTGCGCGCGCGAAGTGTTTAGCGCGCACTACGCACGCGTTAAAATTCCTCACAGTTTTTAATTAATTAAAAAAAAAAAGTTTTTCTTTTGTTAAAATTACCTTATAATTTTATTCAACCGATAAAATTAAAAGTAAAATTAAAAGTAAATAACCTTGTGTGTCTTCCATTTTTTAAAAAGGCCGCAGAAATAACAGCTGGTCTAGTCTTTTATCACACGATGGGAATATAATTATAGAACGCGCGAAGGGAGACCGTATAATAGGATCGAACTATATGTGCTATAGCGTTGTGATAATAATGCAAATCATAATAAGGAATAGAATTATCTCGTTAGACATAGTTGATATCGGGGACTGTATCAGAGGAAGCTCCGACATACACACGGAGAGCGCAGGATGCTTTTTTCCTCCGATAAAAAGTTTCCGTGAAATGTGCGACAACGCGCGCGCGAATATAGCAGCGCGGAATTTCCAATATGTCGTGAAAGGGAATTATCTCATCCGTGCCTGACCTTGAGATCGCGTCAGAAGAAACGAGTTACATATTTGCGAGATCCTCTTGTGAAACGAGAGTCGCGGAAATGTGCGCGATTTTATTCCGAGAATTACGTATGCGAAGAGACTCTTAAGCGAGCCCACTCGGAGAGACCAACCTCTCGAGGGACCACGTGTGAAACGCGTTATGGGGTCACTGTAAATTTCCGGGAGACCACTTGACTTTCTCAATTAATTAGCCGCGAGAAGTGAGTGAGTCAGTCAAAAAAAAAAGAAAAAAAAATTAAAAACGCTTGAGAAATCTAAAGTCGAATTTCTTAACAACAACACGAAGAATACATTAAATCGAATTATTTATGCAAAAGAAGAGCACGAGCTGAATGAGAAACACTGAAATGCATAGCGTGTCTCAAACAACACATCGGAATCGCTAATGTGGCGTCAAATCGCGTGTGAACGATATTATAGTTCGGAGTCAAAATCGCTACGTGGCAACCTGCAGTCACAGATCTTCGAATCGCAGCGTGATTTACCGACGATTTCGCGGTAGGTAGGTACAATGAAGAACGATGTTGTGAGCAAAAACCCGACTGATATACACGATGCACGGCAACCGCAAATTTGCGCATTCGCTGCAGACTCGCGATCGAGAGTGCAAGTGAGAGGTTCGCGACGCAAAGAGATGTTTCATTTTTCGCCCGACGACGACCGTAAAAAAAAAAAAAAAAAGAAACGCTCGCTTCCATAAAACGTCAGGTTTATAAAGCGATCCATTCATGCGTCAACAAGCAGCTGTTTTGGCGTGTTTCATTTCGTCGCTCGCTCCGCGGAAGACGCGAACCGGCCGCCGCGATCTCGCCGCAATTACACGGTTCAAGAACCGCGCGCGTTTAACAGTCGAATATAAGCGACGGATTTTACAATTGATGTAAAGCGTGTGAAAAAATTACCAAGTGTGTTATATTTTTAGATTTTGTTACTGAAACTGAACGAATTTTTAATTCGTGAGATAAAAATTGGTCTCCTTTAAGATATTGTAAAATTGTTTGCAATTATATGTAACAAACATATACATATAACGCATACGAAATAAAAGAGACATTACTTGCAAATTTTATCGATGTAACGCGTTCTAGAGTTTATTACACTTTGAGTTAATCACATGTATTTTCTCTTTGTACAAATAAAACAATATTAATCCAAGTATTTATTACATTAAAAATAAATAAAAGAATTGCGCCAGACTAAGCTGATTTTATCATTCTTTAGCTTTCGTAAAAAAAAAAAAAAAGAATTCGTCATCGTTTGCGCACAAACGGAGTATAAATGCAAATTGCGGAGGCACGAAATCAACGTTGCTTAATAAATTTCCCTCTTCAGTCACTCGTGCGATTTCGAACGCGGAACGAATTTATTCTCGCATCACGCGATTTCTGATTGTTAATGTTTCCTCGCGATATATACTGCACAGAGCGATATATACTCGAGTGATATACTCGAATAATAATGCACGCAGCGAAGTGTGTGCGCGCACACGGTGAAAGCAGCTTCGTGAGCGCGCGTAATGCGGCGTGCCAATTGCCGTGCGTAATGATGAATTCACGACCGAGAAAAGTCGGCAACGCGACTCGATACGAAGTTTAATTATAAGTCTGCTATAAAAAAACTACTGCTATTGGTCGTATCGACCGTTGTGTATCGTGTAATTTTTAATATATTTATTGATTAGGAGAGTTAATTAAAGATACAATATTTTTATATTCGCGCGACATTTAACGCGTTCCGAGAAGGTGTTTTTTGTTTTTTTGTTTTTTTTTACAATGCCGCGGAACGTCGGATTTTGCGACCAATTTGCGGTTGCCGTAAATCTTATTGGATCTCCCGTTTTCGTGCGCGATATTTATCCCGCAAAGATGCACGGTGACGCGTGCAATTTCCGATGGAAGCAACAGAGAGAGAGAGAGAGAAAGAGAGAGAGCCTCGCCGCCAACGTGATTTAAAGGTTAAGCCGAGGTTGGCCGCGCCGCACGCGGTCGGCCAATCGACCGTAAGGGCTCAGTGGTTAAACTTAAATCAGACCTGCACGTCGATTTAAGCCGGCCTCGATCGAGAGCGCTCGTTACATTCAATTTTCGCATCTAAAGGTCCATAGTTGAGGCATTTAACGCCCTTTGATATACATGTGACCTCGTTGAAAGAAATATTTTATGTTATGTATCTCTTTTATGGGTTTCTTCACCGTCCCTTATGGGACGGAAAGAAGGTCGTGCGTTATTTTTCCTTATTTCTCTCGGAATAGCAGTAGTTTACGTTTGCACGTTGATAAATGTTAGTTTAAATAACCCGTCAATCGGGAAAGTTAATCAAGGAAGTGTCGAGCTCAGTCGCGAACTTGTACAATACTCCATTTGCGCGATTAAATGCCCCGTGAACTATCAGCTGAGAAGCTTGCGAATGCGCATAAATTATGATCAACATAATGCAAGACAGAAAAGCCACGCCAGTCTCTCTCTCTTCGGGTTTAAGAACCGCTCCTTCCGGAAGGGTTCATATGCAATTAGCCGGTTACGCCCTTGATAGGAAAACAAAGCACGGGAAGGGTCCTTCCCTGTTCTCTGTGCGTTACTAACTGCGGATATATTCAATGCACGAGCGGCAACAAAAATTGACAACCGTGAACTTCTCGGGGATATTTTATTTTCTTTTTTTTTTTTTTTTTTTTTTAAATACAATCTCACACGCTCGCAAAGAGCTTGATCGATCGCCATTGATCGGTGTAAAGCAATAGCCGATCACGTTACAACGCGTTATATATATATATATATATACATAATGTTTTTTCCGATTATACTCTTTCCTATTATACTCTTTTTCTCTTCTCTGCGAAAAATACATATTTATATTTTTAAAAATAACTCAAAACGGTGACGGACTTAAAAAGAATATCAAATATCCTTTTTTTTGCAATATATTTCACGATATAAAAAACACGATATTAATAACGTAAATGTGGATTCAAACGCTTCACAAGGCATATTTGACAATTAAATGTGCAATGGCGTTATAAACTGTATAAAAATATATATATATATATATATACGCATATGATGCAAATATACAATGTTTTGCATTTTCTCTCGTAAAATAAAAACTTTTTTTTAGAATTTATTTATTTTCCCACTTTATTTATCCGTCTCGATTAATGCGCATTCGAGCGGATTTCTTTTTAGAAAATGACGAGCGTTCGATGTAAATCCGAAGGATTTAAATTTCAATTTAAACAAAGAAGCAACAATGCCAAAGCGTTGAAATCTCCCGAAGGAGACGCCATCGATAGTCAAATATAACTCTCCGAAGGGTATCCATTAATTCCGACTACTTATCTCGCGTAATCAAACGCTACGAAACGCTAATTGTTCCCGTGATCATTCGCAAGCGTGGTAATGACATGACAGTAACGACGATCAATGTCAGGAACGTCCCCCATCGCGCGCGTATAAATGTAACGCCCCCATGCACGAGAGCAGGACTCTCCGCGACGATCGAAAACAACAAATCGCCGACGCCGCTAATGGCGAGAGCGAATCAGCCGGGAAACAACGAGAATTGTCGCGCTCTTCTAACGTTTATGCATGTTATCGGCTCGGAATTTGACAGTCGTGTTTATTCATCGATCAGATTCCACGTATCAACAAGAAAATTCCAAAATCCAAAATCTAAAATCGAAGTCTCGCGCGACAACCAAGAGAGAGAGAGAGAGAGAGAGAGAGGTCAATGGCATATTTATGTTTGTTTATTATGGTGGCGGAACGTTCCGGCTGATCGGCGGGTGCTTCTGATCTTGCGGACGATGACTGACAGCGCGGTCAAAACACAAACATACAATAAAACAAAAAAAACTCACCCTTCTCACGGTATTTCCCGTGCTCTCGCTTCTCCGCGCCTTGTCCACCGACGGTGTTCTGCTCGTCGCTCGACGCGTGTCCGTTCTCTCTTCCAGTAATCCCACACACGGGCAAACGTTCAGACGGAGTCTTCGGGAGACGCGACGCGGACTTTTAGCAATTGCTCGCCGCCGGGCGCAACCACATCTGTCCCGTAATCACAAAACCGGCGCCGACTGCACGGCGCATCGCGGCGCGACGCTCGACACGAAGATGCACCCACACGTATAGCCACGAACTGACGGTTTATCACGCGCCGTTCATTATCAGCAGTAGAGGGAGAAGAGAAAAACCCACCTCTCGCCTCGTCGCGATCGCGACTGCTCGTGCGCAGCCAGCCGGTGACGAACTGATCGCTCACTCAGGGCAGACAATCCCCCATGTTGTTATCATCAGTTCGCCACACGCGAGCTCACTGCTGAAAACTTAGCTCGACGAGCGTCATCTGGTAGACGCGGGGGCGAATTATAAAGTTTACAATTTCTCGCACTTGTGGTGGAGCTAAGAACGGCCATATGGAGCGCGTTTCTATATGCGCAATGAACACACATTTTGAAGATATACAAAATTACGTACTTAAGAACCAAATCATCATCAAGTAAAAAACACGTGACAATTTGAATTCGGAGGCTTTTCGTTTTTTGAACTTTGTTACAATCTGTTTTTTTTTTTTTTTTTTTTTTTTTATTTTTTTTTTTTTTTTTTTTTTTTTTTTTCATTGTTTCTAACGCAAGATGTAAGAAGACACAGATTTCTTTGTCAAAAAAAATAAAAAAAATAAAAAAAAAGAATTGAGTCACTTTAGGGGCTTTGCCTTGTAAATGATATTGATAATAGATTATCTTATATAACGTACACACAATGGAACATTGTTTTACTGTGATCATTGATACTTATATTATTCTACGTTGCAAAAAAAAAAAAAAATGTAGCAAAACTTGCGTTTTCAGCGAGAAAAAACGCTCGAAGACCGGAAGTACACACGTCAGACGCGAGACTCGCCCCATCGAATCGGTAGATTTGTCGCTTCGCTCACAAGCGTGATCTAGAGAACGACTAGTCCGTGGAGTGTGGCAGGCGCGGAGAGGTTGGCTAGATTTTCGCAAAGTGTATTTTCAGTGTCAGGCAGGACGGCACGCACCTCCGCTTGGCAGCGTGCTGAATTAATCGCAACGTGTACGTGGGTGATGAGAAGCGCACGTCGCAGTTAAAAAGCCGCGCCAGACCACGTGTGAATACGCCGCGCACAGTCACGCACGGTGTGTGTTCGCTCGTTGCACTTTAGAAAAAAATACGGCGCCTCGCAGAAATGGCGGTGCCTAACACCGGTGTAGGTGAGTTATTTTGTTAAATAGTTTAGCGTGAAAAAGAAAAACAAGATACGCTTTCCGCTTGTTCTCGCGCGTTCTTTTTGTTGTTCTCGGGACGCGGAATCGGGACGATTCCGACGATCGTCGACCGACGCTTCGCACCGCGAATTGTCAACGGACACCGTCCGATCCCGCTCTGTGTCTTTACGAAGAGAAACGTCGTTACCGCGATGATGAACGATGTGACCGATTCCCGTTGTTTTCTCGTCGATAATCCCTTCTTTCGCGCGACATCGCGAAACCTATCCGCGCGTAATCGCTGAGAGATTCGAAGACACGTCGAACGTGTGTAAGGTTAACCATGCACAATTCTCGTCCCGAGTCATAACCTGTATCCATCGCGCGACGATTTCGGCGACTGCTCGCATCAGCTGTTTCGAATAAAATAAACCGCGATAATAATGTCTTTCAGTCGTACCCCGAAACTTCCGTCTGTTGGAAGAGTTAGAGCAAGGCCAGAAAGGTGTAGGCGACGGCACGATTAGTTGGGGCTTGGAGAATGATGATGACATGACCCTCACACATTGGACTGGTATGATAATTGGACCACCTAGGGTAAGAGATCTTTTATTTCGAGATGTTAATTTTTGTATATAAATTTAATATAATCTGTTATGCTTGATATATATTTTTATATAAGTTTATTTTTTCTCTCTTCCATTTTCAAAACTCTCTTAAACCACAGTACGATGTTATATTCAGTGAACTTTCTTAAACATCTTGCATTTTATGTACATCGATCACAATGTAATTACACATTATAATTTATGACAATTAAACATATTTTTATTTAATTTAATCTTATATTAATGTTTTTTTAGACACCATATGAAAATAGAATGTATAGTTTGAAAATTGACTGCGGTCAAAGATATCCAGATGATGCTCCTAATGTAAGATTTTTAAGCAGAATCAATATGAATTGCATCAACAGTGCTACTGGAGCTGTAAGTATACATACAGATATACAGTTGTGATAAGTTAAAAATACATACATAAAAATTCTTTGTACACAAGGTGGATAATCGCAGTGTGCCAGTTCTTGCTAAGTGGCAACGAGAATACACAATTAAAACAGTTCTCCAGGAACTTCGTCGTTTGATGACATTAAAGGAGAACATGAAACTTTCTCAGCCTCCGGAGGGCAGTACTTTTTAGCCTAACCGTATGAACAGAGACATCTTCCTTTTTGCAATAGCATGAAGCGAGATCTAACAAGAAGGTACCAAATATTAAACAGGTGCCAGCTAAAGTTATATGTTTAAAAAGAAACAAAAAAAAGCTTTGTGAGAGAAAAGAGGTAATAGCTTGGAAAGTTGAATTGGGTGTATTGAATTTATGCATAGAAAATTTATGCAATTAGATAAAAAAAAAAAAAAAAAAAATTTACGACATATTCATCAAACAGAAGTGGCCGTATTCTGGTAAGGCTGCTTTTCTATCAAAATTTTTTCACGTTTTTTACTTACCAACAAAAAATGTGAGATGTTCTTTCGATTACTTCCAATGTCGTATATAAATTTATACATCTATATATTGTATAGAGTACAATAAATTGTATTATTGTATTTACGCACGAAATAATAATTCTACTCTACGTGCAACCGAAAGAGAAACTCTGTTTCGGCTTTTCAAGCTAGTACACAATGTGTAAAAAAAAAAAATCATATTTTGAATCTTAAAAACTGAATACACACACAGACCGTGTAATAAAAATGATTAATCGGTAAGAATAACTTATGCCTTCGAAGTTTTTTAACGTGAGAAGAAGGACAATGCGTGGTATCGTGAGCCGTTTTAAGACCTTTCCTCTGTTTGCGCGTAAGTGCCATTTTATCTCTTGCGGAGGTGTCTCTCACCGAGAGTGCTCTGTTGTAGACAAAATTTGTAAATTCTGAATTGTAAACTCTGCGTATCAATTTTTACATCATTTTCTGTGCTGTATATTATTTCAACTAAGCGTTCTTCGATGAAAACAATGTGCATACGTTGCGTTTGAGAAAAATTGTGTCTTTAAAAACGGCCTCTCATACTATCGAGAAAACGGATTCTCGTACGAATTGTGGATTCGTATTTGATGAGAAAACGTTGTGGCTTTGTAACCGAAGCATATACATATGACAATTTTATTTGTAATATCTCATATGGCGAATGATATATAAATGTTGCATGGCAAAGTGCATCAATATGTGAAGCATTATGATTACGCAAACAAATTTTCTTTTTCTTTTTTTTTCTTTTTTTTTTNTTTTTTTTTTTTTTTTTTTAATCACGTTTTGGAACTTGTGTAATCGAAAATACATGCACAGCCACTGACATAATTTAATTATATACCTATTGAACTACAAAAAAATCACAGTATACACAAACGCGCGATTCAAGCTTCATAATTGATGTATTATATTATGTTTATTACGAATTATTAAAGTCATAATCGATTGCTAACATTCTGTAAAATACACAAGCTGCATATTACTTGTTATGTGAAATCAGATTTATTTTATCTTTATTAATGCAATTATTGCGATAAATAAATTAAGCTCGACACACCATTGCTGAAAATCGAATTGTATGCAGCCCACTTGATTTCCATTACGATGCGAACGTGTTATTATATTCCAGCAAGAGGATAACGTGTTATTATTATTGACGTCATCTCGGGGTTTATTACCTATTACTTTAAAAAAAAAATAATAAATAAAAAATGTCTTCATATCTAGAAACTAAAGTGAGTTCCACCAAAGTAGATTCAAAGTAGATTTTTGAGATATCTCCGTGTTTAATTGTGTAATGTAAAAATTTTCGATTACCCAAACGAAATATACCTCTTTGTCAGCTTTGCATTTCAGTATTACACTATCGGTAATATAAATAGTGTAATTTAAATCATCCTATTGAAAGAGTAAACAAGTTATGTAACTCCATGTGGACGAAATCAAGCTTAAGGAGAATAAAATGATTTCCTTAGAAATGGAGGTGTTGTCTTGTCTTTCTTTTTTTATCCATATGCGTTAATGATCTTTCTTCTTTGGAAAATAATCAAATTGATTTATTGAAACCAGATTGTTTCACAGCGTTCATTTTTCTTGTGATCTCTCAGAGAATTTATAGTCCAAATGAATTCCTCTTTACTGAAAAACATTTCGTTAGCGAGATATTACTATACAAGCACAAAATTAAGACTATATTCTCGATTTATATATGCGTACATATATAATTACAATAGATTTTTATATCTTTTGAATAAAAAAATGTTTGAATATGATAATAAATTTCGTAATCATACTTGAACATTCCCCGCGAATTGTTCAAGACTGCGAATATAAATCGCATCTCGTCAAAAGAATGAACGTTCTTTATGTTTAACAATTTATTTATGTCAGACAATGACTCCATTGTATATAGCTATGTACAATGTATAATTTAATAGGTTTGGTAGTGATGACAAATTGACAGTTTGTCAAATGCTAGCATGAGTATGAATCTTGAGAGAGGAGTCACAAAAACTTGCCGGATACATCACTTAAATTCTGAAACTACATTCCGATATCAGCACAATAGCTAATATTGCATTAATTTCCATTCGGCTAACGTTTATATTGTTTTGGGACGAACATTATTTTTGTGCTCTTGACAGTTGTCCATGTATGTCGTTTCATGTAGTACGTGGCAGCAGTTAGAATGAGCAGTATTCCAAGAGCCTGTAAACAATTGATATATGAAGCAATTGTTGTGTGCACTGAGATTAGATAAAAAAACAAAAAGCTTATAAATAATTATAGCCAATTCACCTTAATAGTCATCCTCTTTCGATCGTCGAATTCATGATTGGCAGTCCACGTCAGGAATGTGACGATATCTTTTGTTACTTGAGATGCAGTTGGAGGAGTTCCATCTTCGTATTCTAAAACTTCGTCATAAATAGCCTGCGTAGAAGAATACAGGAATTAGAACTCATTGTTTGTGTTTTATACAATTAGACAAATGACATTTGCTAATGACATTTGATTTGTGTGAGTGCAATTCTCAATATTGCAAAATTTACATTTTGTTTTGAACAAAATATAAACAACTTACTTGTGCCATACCAATTGCGCCGCCTGGGAAATATGGATTGAAATATTGACCTTCTCTTAAATGTATACCAGCTGGTGGATCACAATATCCAGTCAACAAAGAAAATACATAGTTCTACAAATATAACATGCTCAATTAACAAAACGAAACCTAGTATCAATACTAGAAATAAGTTCAACGAAAACTACCGAGTGTTTATGAAATTTATAATTTTTATAAACTATTTGACGTTTTTTGCTCTGTACGGAGTATAATACATTTACTTATCAATTTTTCCGGATAAAGAAACTTACTTCTCCGTTGTGCCTGGCATTAATCATGTAAGACAGATCAGGTGGATAAGCACCATTGTTTGCTGCTCTAGCAGCTTCTTCATTTGGATATGGCGACGGTATATAATCAGATAGTTTTCCTGGACGTTTGTAATATTCTCCTTGTTCATTAGGGCCATCCTCCACCTACATAATGAAAATGCAAGAATATTATATTATTCGAACAAACTATGTTTCTCACAATTTATGTAAGACATACCATGACTTCTTCTGCTAAAGCTTTGGCTTCCGCTTCAGTATGAGTGACATTCACAAGGTGACGATATGCCACATATTGCAAACTGTGACAGGCTGCACAGACATTCTTGTAAACCTCCCATCCCCGTCGCATGCTATACATACAAATATTACAATTGTAATAACAATAATAAACGTTTGTTGGATTATTGATTATACTGAAAGAATCGTACCTAGCATGATCTAGCGAGTTAAACCAACCATAGAAATCCCATTTGTATGTTGGCGGATGAGCTATTAAATCGCTAGCTCTTACTGAGCTATCTAATGCATAAATAAAGGCACTTATGCCTCCGGCTGTTACTCCTAAGCATGTTAATAACTGTAAGTAAAAGTGTTAGAGATATTACTGCTTTTTTTCTCATACATAGTTTACACAATTAAATGTTATATACAATATTACAAACTAGTATTGTAAAATCACCAGAAAAAAAATATCAGAAAAAATATAGATAAACCATAAGATATAGATAACTGAATATAATAAATATAGACAACTAAATAAGAAATATTGTTTTAACTTACTATTAATGCATCATATAGTTTGAGAAAATAAGGTTTTTTTCTTAAGGATCAGGAATGGACGAAGGAGTTGGAAAAAGCTTCAATCAAAAGATATTACATATATACATTCACACATACCACTTTTCGACTTCTGGGCCAGTCTTTCACGGTAGTAGAGAAATTGCTAGTCTGCAAAAGTTCAAATATAACGTATAAACACTGTACAAATACACAACTGAAAAAATTGAAATATTTACAAATCTTTATGTTACAATTTATAATTTTGATGATCAAAGAACTTGACTTTAACCACTCAAAATTAACAAATATCTTTTATTGGTAAATTTTATTTTACAAACAAAAATTTAAATTTTATTTTTTTATCTTATGTCATTTGCAATAATAAATAAAGTGGAAATCTTTTACATTATCTATTGAACATAAAACAAACATCTTTGTTTAATTCTGAGATAAAAGAAATTTACTATTATATAATCAAACTTATATACAGACAAACACAAGGAATCTTACTCAATATATAAGAATGTTATAACATTTCTTCTCAATCAGTTCCAAACTGACAGTTATACAATAACACTTGCTAGCATACTTGCTATTCTAATTGGATAAATAAAATCTTCTTGTGTTTACAAATTATAGTGTAACAGCGAGTGACAAAAAATAAATTTTCCTTGTAATTGTTTTTTGGTTATTCGTTTGCTGACTGCGCACGGAAGATGCATCAGCAACACATGTTCGATTATCATGGCAGCATCTCGATTTTCGGTATCGCTCGCTATTACATAACGTCTATTAAACTGTCGTCAAAATCATCACGCAGGTAACGTCGCGGGACGTCGCGCCCTTTGTCGACGTTTTGACGTCGCGCGGACGTTTCGCGGAGGTTGATATCGCCGAAAAAAGGTTTAACATTAGCAGCCGACAGTTCGTACTGTATCCTCCTCGGCGAGTCCTCGAGTCAATATTGGTTAGGCAAATTTTGCATCTCGACACAGACGTCGTAATAAGGTGCGAATTGTCACGAGAAAATACGCACAAGCTCTTTAACAAAACGCTTATGTCTTGCCGATTTACTTACCTGGCCGACCAGCGTGCCGTAATTCGGTTTCAAAAGACTCAATTTACAAATCCGACCTAACGTCGCCGCCATGTTGGCAAAAGGTACAATGTGCCAAGGATGGTGCTAGTCAATGAAGAGTTTACTGACAGCCGACTCCGAAAGTCACTTTCCCACTTTTGTAAAAAATTTCTGTGCAATTACTTCGGATTTCTTTTTTATTGACACAAGAAACAGCTAAGGGAGGTTAAATTATCAACAGAAAGAAACGTCGTGAAGGTGACATCGGCCGACTTCGGCCGAACTGGAGCAGGACCGCCAACGTCATTTGGCCGAACCAATTCCTGATATTTGAATCGGTATCTCAGCGTGTACGCGATCGATTAACATTGTTATTTTTATTATTATTGTTGTTATTACTTGTCAATTTTCACGGAATAATATCGATCGAGTCAAAACTAGATTGAGCCGATTCTCGTCAAAATAATAAAATTGTCAAATAATTTATGAAATTACAACCGATTAAAGTCTACTTTTCATGTGTATATCGAAAAATGAGCAACGAACGATACGTCGTCGCGTATCGATATATCGCGATGCAATTACCTGGGCTGCGTTTCATTTGATGATCGCAACGTTCGCGAGCGTTACTCTATCTTTGTTTAACTGTCGATGAAAAACAAGAACGAAATGATTTAATGAGCGTTGCGATTGCTAAATGAAGCGCAGCCTTGAAAGAGCTGCACCCGTTACGACCATCACACACAAAATTACTTAAGATCGTAAGACGTAGCCGTAAAGAAATTGACCAATCAGAATCCTATCCCTACATGCCCACCACTTTTAGATGTAAATGTCTGATTGGTCAATTTCCTTACGGCTACCTCTTACGATCTTAAGTAAATTTTGTGTGTGATGGCCTTTACGTTGTGTGACGTGAGGTAAGGGCTTGGGGAGAGGGCAACGCATGCGTGGCGCGTAGTTGGCTACACAGCAGTTAGCCGTCGATCATTGGTGTCAGCTGGAAGATTCCGTCAGATGGTGTCGTGAATCCTGTAAAATCACATCGATCAGTGCACGACGGAGTCAGTCAAGATGAGCGGTGGAATGCCAGAGCTAGGCTCTAAGATCAGTTTGATCTCGAAAGCGGATATTCGCTATGAGGGACGTCTCTTCACCGTCGATCCGCAGGAATGTACGATCGCCCTGGCCAACGGTGAGTAGAACAACGAGAATCCAAGATGGACTCCCGCCGCAATCGCATCCACTGTTCCCATCTCTCCCGCCGCCACTCTCGAACGCTCGTTCTTTTTCCCAGCCTCCGAAAAAAAAAAAAAAAAAAGAAGCCGAGCACGGCCGGAATTCCGTGACCCTTCTCACCTTCGTGCAATCTCGATATCGAGTAATCTCATCTGTCCCGGTCCGGGTGAGCGAATTTAGATGTTTCCGTCACACAATTCCGTTATTTCGGATAAACATAATGGTCATTTTCACCGTCAGTGGCGTCAGAGTTTGCACGTGAAAAAAACTGATACCGATTACGATCTCCGGCTTGCCGTGTGATACTTGAGTTTAGACAATGGTCACTCGCCGGTCTCCTCGATCTTTTGTTGCTACGCGTCAAACTCCCGACGCTTCGCGAGGAAAAAAAAAATATCGAGAAATTGCCGGTGTCCGCAATTTCGCTCGGCAAGATCGTGGCGCAAAACACTCGGGGTCGTGGCGACCCTGAATCCTTTGTAACGGATGTTTTTCCGAGGCGTGACTTATATACCGGCTGGAATTTCGAACGTTTCGATACGTTGTGATATGAGAATTCAATATCCCCAAGAGTCTATTTACCTATCAATCGTCCCGCGGTGAGTGATTTAATTTGCATATTAAGCGAAAAACGCCGAATATCGAATAACTGTGAAACTTGTTGATAATCATTTGATCTACGTCATGTGGCGGTTTATTTGGCTTGTGCTTGTCGCCAAACGTGACAAAAATGATCTCAGATCGTTTTAAAGTTTTTATCTTGATGTATTACAGTTGTGAATTTATATTTTGTACAAAAATAACGGTAGGGATAATAATGACAAATTCGAAAAATTTGATGAAAAATTTGAAATTTTGTTGTACGAGCAGCTCTGTTACGTTACTGTGCAAATGTCGTTTTTAATGTTATGTGTAACATTGTAAAACTTTTGAATGAACTTTTTCATTTTTTTGTATCGGATTGAGACTTGAGACTCTTATGTAATAAACACGTACATAATTTCGAATTTGAGTATAACCGTTAGTACGGAATGTTTTTCCTCTTTCTTCACAATGTTTACATGTCCTTGCTCTTGTCCCATTACATGTAATACCATGTGTAGACAGATGACTTTGAAACTACTCGAAAGGAACAAATATTATTCTTCGAGGTATATTAAATCAAAGTGATTCATGTATATTATGAATTGAAGATAACCAATGAATATATATATATATATAATTCTCTTTTTAGATAAAATATATAAAAGATAATGCAATTGTGTTACAGAGATATTTTAATATAGTTTATACAATCTTTAAATATTTACATGATGTTTATCTATTATTTGAATTTATTGATATTAATACAACAATATTTATTTAATGTGTGAAACTCTGCAAGTAATTTATTTATATCAGAATAAAACTATGTATAAAATAATATTATAGCGTTATTATTTAATATTAAATTTAAAATATTGTCAGTACTATTAACTATTTTATTACATGTTAATGTAAAACATTGTTGAATTATAAGAATGTCTTTCTAATTGTTGAAATTTACACGAACAAATAAATTATTTATTACTTCTACAGTACGTTCTTTTGGTACGGAGGATCGGGAAACTCAACTTCCTGTTGCACCACAAAATCAAGTATATGAATATATTCTGTTTCGTGGATCAGATATTAAGGATATCAGAGTTGTCAACAATGTTAGTTCTATTCCCAATGATCCAGCTATTGTGCAGGTAATGTTTTTTAACATTTATGTTTTTATGATTTATATACAGTGTTGTTATATGTTTTAATTATGACATTAACTTGATTGTCATTATTCTGAAGATGACAGTGCAACCATCTATGAATCAGCAGTCGTATCAGCCACAGCCTAGCTATGCTCATCCAATGATGGGCCAAATGGGTCCGATGGGCGGTCAATACGGAGCTCCCTATGGTATGGGTATGGGTACTATGGGCCCAGTAATGGGAATGCCGACCACAACTAGAGATCCACGTGGAGCAATGAATAAACAACCAAGTGAGTTGAGCTTGGGCTCTGCCGAACCCAATGCCATGAATATTCCGAACTCACTGCCAACGGCCAATATCGACCCATTACCAAAAGATCAATCTCTGGAAGATGGTAAACTGTTTTTGCTATAAAATATCCCTTGCGCCTTGTGCTGGCATGCTTTGTTGCTGCTCCTGTCTTGGTAATGCCTGCAAGCGCCAAATATGCAAAACTTATTCTTTTTTTTATCAAATTTTGTTTTATCAAAAATTAATATAAAATATTTTTACGTAAGATTTCATAATAACATTTGAATAAGAATCTTCTAATAATCTTAACATATCTTTTTAATAATCTTGATATATTTTTTTATAATAATTTTTTCTACAATGTTTTCTCTTTTTTTGTATTTTATGTATTATCTGTTACTGTATTATTTGTTTTAACTAAAAACAGTTACTAGTTTTTATTACATAAAAGCTTAGTGCTTTGCTTGACTGCTTTCTATGTATAATATTAATTGTAAATGTTCGTAAACAGTTTTTTATACATTTACTTTTATATACTTACAAGTCTGCACACACTGATAATACGGGATAAAATTTTTATTTATATACTGAAATTTCATTTATTTTTCTTCTCACTTTATCTTCCTACCCTAGTATACGTTTATTTTCCCTAAAAATCTCTCAGTTATAGTCCCACGCAGTTTCCCTTACGATTCCTACCCTCAGCTTCTTCTTTGACTCCCACTTTTGCACTTAGCAGAGCGAACGAAGCGCGGGAAATCGCGTGATTTGCAGCAATCAATCACTGCAATTATGAAACCCATCTTTACTCTGCAGCAGTGGTGGGATCCCTTCTGAAAGAAAAATAAGTAAAGCTCACGTTTCATGGGTGGAAAAATAAATAAAGTTTCAGTATATATTTTGTTTTTTTTTACAATAATAGTTTGAACTTCTAGATGTTTCCTTTTGTTGTTTTAAAAGCATTTTAATGTCAATTTTTTTAATAATTTTGCACACTTATCTAACCTTTATGCATAATTTTTATTCATATATTTTACACTTAATCTTTTCAAATTTTTTTTGTTTTTTTTTTGTTTTGCATATGCATTTTCTTATTTTACTCTCCTAATAGTTACTCTCCTCATAGTTACTCTCACAAATACCAAAATATAGCAACAACAGTGATAGTAAACGATGACGAATCGTTGAAAAATCCTCGAGAGATTTTTCTTATATGCGACTCTTGTAGAAATAGTTTTTTATTTGAAGTTGGCAATATAAACTGTTGGTCTCTATTTTCTTTGCTAAAATTTCGTGTTGGATTAGGATTGCCTGTGCCTTTGATTTGCTAATGATTTATGATATTATCTGGTAATAAGACCAAATATTATGTGACATTTGTATGTTCTAATAATATAGGTGTACTAGATCTTATTAGTGGTGGTTCTCGTTCTACCACTCCGACATCATCCTTACTGACGAGAAAAAGTCCAACTATGGATCAAGGTATTCAGGTAGGACACGAACAATCGCAGCAACAGAATAGTAACATTGGCAAATTGAATGATAAGACGAACATGAGGACCGTCCAACCCCCTCGCCGGGATCATGATAGGTATTTTATTTTCAATAAATTTTTTTACAATAAAGAAATAAATTTCTTAATTGTAAATATTAGTATTTAATATCAGAACAATATTAAATTAATTCATGAATGTTAATGTCAGTGTGACGAACATTCTTCGCATTTTTAGCCACGGAAATGCTAAGAATAACACGGCCATGTCTCACAATCAGTACAATGACGGAAAGAGGGACATGATGAAGCAAGATATTCAAAATCAAGGTGGTCATGGTCAAGGTGGTCGAGGCAACCGTGGTGGCTGGGTGAATCGTGGCGGCAACATGAGAGGTAGAGGAGGTCGAGGACGTGGTGGTTTTCGTGCGAATCAAGCGGGCAACACTGGTGCCAACAAGCCTAAAAATACACTGAAGTTTGATAACGACTATGACTTCGAACAAGCCAATACCGAATTCGAGGAATTAAGGTAAATAACACTTACATATATATTGACGTTACACATCACGCATGGTTACGTGCCGGATTCATTTCAGTTAACTTATTTGAAATGACCAATGTGGACACCATGCGAAAGCAAATTAATGCGATTTTAAAGACAAATTTGAATAACAAATCATTGTCTTACGCATCGCAATGACATTGCATTACTATAATATCGTTATTTTCTTTTTTTTTTAATGATATAGTGTTATGCTATTTATGTGTTCATTGCGTATTATTGCAGGTCACAATTGGCAAAAACGAAAATTGATGGTACCGACAACGAGAAAAAAGATGACAGTGGAAATGAAACGGGCGCAGGTGAAGGTGAACCTGAGGAGGAACCAGAGATTGTGCACTATGATAAGTCCAAATCGTTCTTTGACAATATTAGTTGTGAGGCTGTCGAAAGGAGTAAAGGGTGTGTATCAAAAGAAGATAGTAATCTAACATACTGCTTTGAGACTTTAAAAAATTTAAATGTAAATTTGTTATAAATTTTTAATGTATAGTGCTTGTTACATTGACCGTAAATTGAATTCTTTTCAAGATTAATTGACACATATGTATTTTTTTTCTTATAAAAAGCAGGATAAATGTTACATGAGATTTTTTTTGTCTCATCAGCAACTTGCGTTGCACAACGTTTTCCATATGTTGCAAATTTTTTTCCCCATTTTTTCCAGTCGGTTCCAACGCACGGATTGGAGAACAGAACGAAAACTGAATTCAGAAACTTTTGGTGTTGCTTCTACAAGACGTGGAGGTTTTCGCGGTCGTGGCTATTACAATCGCGGAATGGGAGGCATGTACAGAGGAAGCGGCGGTGGCAACAACAATTTCCGCGGTGGTTATCGAGGCAACAGAGGCGGCAATCGTAAACCTCCTAATCAAATGCAAAACAACACGGGGAGTCAAAATCGCGCGACCAACGAACAATCTGCCCCTCAGTCGCAGACGAACGTTATCTAAATAATAATAATAAAAAAAGAATTTAATTTGTCACCGGTACGGCGTAAAAGAACTCAAATAACACATATACCGGAGAAAATAAGCGTTGCGCTACTATATAAATATATATATATATAAGTATTCAATAGATTAAGATTTTATATACGCTCCACCGTTATGGACTGATTTGGATTAAAATTTGGCAATCGAACCGTATAGACATTACACGCGGTCTCAGATTGAATGTAGATTATATAACGGAGAGCGCGCGTTTGCAAAAAACAAAAAATAAATAAAAATCGCCGGGCCGGTGGTTACGTGTGGGATTAAGTGACAAGAATCGCACATGCGGACGTCGCATATGATTCATTGCATCGATATTTTGCCGCTAAATGATCGAAGAAGGTACTTTTAAAAGACAAATTTGTTTCTTACCGCTTAGTCGACAATGATCACGACGAATTGCTATTAAGAGAATATAAAAACAAGATAATTTCGCTTCAAAGCGAAGTCAGCTACAAGCAGAACCTTTGTTCTTTTTTATAACGAATACTTATTTGTGGAATCAAATGTAAGAATTTGAAAGAGGAGGAATTAAAATTTGCGTGGATTAGTTGTAAGTTTTATTTGAAATGTGTCTTAATGAGTTAATTTGAAAAAAAAACCACCTATAAGAGTGGTGGTGTGTCCGTTTATAGTTAAGGGAAAAAAAAGAAAAACAATTCGATCGTGATCATTTATTCAGTCCGGTTTTCTCAAGACTTGACTATAACTAATTAAGGAATGGCTTTATTATGAAGGTGACTATGGTCGTTTATGGAATAGCTGGTTTGTATCCGTATATCGGAAGTGAATGGCAAAAATAATGGACGTGCGTAAAAGTACTTTCTCGACAAAGTATGTAAAAATCGATTGTATCTATAAAAAAAAAAACAAAAAAAACAAAAAAAAAAAGTAATGCATTTGTCGAGAATAGGAATATTGTGAAGTATATAGAGTACAAGGCACACATTTGGCAAAAAAAAAAAAAAAAAAAAAACATTCTTTTCTTTTGTTTTGGGTTTTTGAGCGTACACAGACGAGAAATTTTTCAAATCCTCGGCATGAAGTTCATGTAAAACGTATAATTTTATTGGGGCGGATAAATATAAGAAAACAAACGAGCGAAAATAAGTTTCCATATATAGGATTTTTGTATTATTAAATTGGAGTAACTAAAAATAACCCGCTTACTCTTTCTTTGGAAGATCTGTATCTTAGAATTACGAAAGATGTAAGCGTCTATCTTATTGTTGTAAGTAGCTAAGTTCTAAAATCGTGTTAAATCATATAATTGGCATCGTGTTCTCTCTGCAACCAAGGATTCCTCGATTGCTCTCAAATGTGTCGAATAATCTCGATAAGATGAGACATAAGTCTGGATACGTAAGTCTCAAAGAAATTTATAATCAGTAAGGTGATGTTCATCTAGGTCAATGTAATATTTTAAGATTCACACCATTTCTAACAATATATTTCTGTCGATATCTGGTTTTCTCTTTCAATGTTTTTTTTCTTGCTGTTTTGTTGATCGAAAACTATGACATGGTATATGCAAAAATACTGAAAAGGAAATAAGATTTGCGCACTTGCAATTAACATATGTATGAAAACACACAAAAAAAATTATATATAAAATGAATTATTTATTAAAATAATAAAAATACTGTCTTACCAGTCAGTATCATAAAACATGTAGTCAGTCATACATATCTATATTGAAGTGAAATTGCAATTGATCTGTTTTCTTTTCGTATTTGAACAGTCTAGTCTTGAAACGAGAATGAACACTTTGTATATGGGGAAAAAAAAAAAAAAAAAAAAATTATGTGAGTTTGTATTAGTGACGCGAATTCAGAATTGTAACTTGTGATAAAAACTTCCAGACTAAACAAAATAAAGTGCATAAAGATTAGACTATTCATGCTTTCGAAGAATCCTTTTTGATGCATGACAACGCTGCGCGTAGGATTGTGTTAAATGGCGATACGAGCAAGACTAAAATAAAGCATGATGTCCTTAAAAATGTAAGACGTAAAAAAAAAGAGTAAGAATATTATTTGCGACTATTATTTTTCTATGGCTCGTACGGAGTCCAACTCGCATACAGATAATTATATATACAAAATACATGCATACACACACACATATAACTTGAGATTTATATTACTTGATAAGCAAACCCGCAAATACACACACACATTTTTAATAGACTATCAGAGAAAACGCAGAATAAAGTAAAAAGGATAATATATAGGAATATAAAACAAAGTAAACGAGTAGGGAAGGAAGATACGGTGAGACGACATTATCTTTTAAGTTATATGCCTAGAACATATGAAAAACAAATCATGTATGGGAAAAGAAGTTTTTCTTTTGTACAGCGATATTGTGATTTCCCGGTACGAATAATATTGAAAATAATGAAATAACACTTTGCTATGTCATTCTCCTGCATATTTTTTTTCTTTCTTTCTCGCTCCAGTATTCAAAAAAAAAAAAAAAAAAAAAAAACCAATTAAAAACTTATTTCTCGCAATGAAGTTATATAACATTGGGAAACGGTTACCGGAGAGTACTGTGCTTCCTCTTCGATAAATTTTATATAATTTATCGATAAATGTTAATATAAGAGATAAAAATGTACGTATGAGTTTAAATGTGAGACGATAAGTGGTTTAAACCAATTTTAAAGGAGCGACTTGGGAAACAAAGACTGCGTGTCATGCGATTTTGGAAAGAAAAATACAAAAAAAAAGAGGAATATGTATTTGGATGTAAATAGAATTTATGTAACGTCTTTGGTGTATAAAAAACTCTAGCGCGTGTTATCTTTGCGTGCGTTGCTACGCGTTACGTATACAATGTGATTAGGACGTGTCGCGCGCAAAAAAAAAAAAAAAAAAAATCTACGTCTTCTACGCGCTGTGTCTGGAGTGTTTTAAATTGATAAGAACAAATCGATTAGAACGGTTACGCGATGTAACGACCCACCCCGTAGATCAATGGGTCATTTCATTTGGACCATCGGGAGCAATTTTATCTTTGTTTTTGCACACGAAATTTTTGTACATGTTTAAATGGCACATTTAAATGGCCCTGCATTATCACACTCTCACACACTGTTACGAATTATTAAGTCTCTGTTTCTTGCGAGATTAAAAAATTCGCCATATGTGCACAACCAACTTTCAAGACTGCGATGTATATTTCGAGTTAGTTCTGGAAGTGTTATGAGCTTATAAAATTAATACAGGGTCATTATTTTTATTTTGTACTTTTTTTGTTCAAAATATTTGTTATATATTTGTCTTGTATCACAGGTACAATCTCAGTTACAAACTTGTTACAAACGTGAAGTTGAAAACATACGTATACAAGTGTGAAGAAATTAAGGACGGAAATATATAAAACAGTTGCTGTAGCAAGAAAAAAACAAGTATACTAATATTTTCTCAATGTAAAATAACAAATATTTCTCTGCGAACTGCAACTTTATTTCGACTGCATGTTGTTCTCTTCGTCCTTGCAGTGATTCGTACGAAGCGATCTTTTGCGAGCGAAAAGATTTTTGGAGTGAAATGATGAGGAGAGATCACGGTCGAGCGCGCGCGATTGCCGATTTATCAGCGAGTACTCAGGCACAGCTCATAAGGCCCGTTCTTGTACTGTCGCAGACTTCTCCTTTTATCGGGCGACCTCGCACGATCTTGGTGTCGACATGCGGGAAATTATTCTTGTAGTGACGGCGCAGAGTACGCGGATTCGGCACGTAAACCTCGTAAGGCGGTTTGCCGTTCTCGATGACCCAAATACTGCCGGACTCACCGATCCTCAAGATTGTCATGAGACCTTGAGCGACTACGTAAGGCCTGCGAAAGCAAAATTCACAAACATAACGATACTGACAGAAAAGTGGGACTTTATCCGCCGAATTATCGCTTACACGTAACCACCGAGATTGCAGTGTTTATTTCAACCGAAGTTACAAAGTTTAAACAAACTAATTTTTTAAATAAATTTTGATTTGAATTTTTCTTACACGAAGAGATCACACTTGAAATAATTATTATCGCAGATGATGTAAAATCTGATTTGTACTATTATATCTCAATACCGCAAACAAAATATAACGTTATAGCGACAATATATCGATGATGAACTCACGTCTGTATCGAGAACTGTTCGAGAGTTTTGACAAAATCTGCCTTCATAACTCGGGAGAGCAATTTGTTGGGACTATCTACTGTCAGAGCGGTTTCTGTCAATCCTGGGCACAAGGTTAACACAGTGACGCCGGTCTTCTCGTAGTGATAAGGATCCTGTTTCGAGACAAACATGATTAAGAGCTTTGTGAGCAATAAAAGAAAGTGCAAAAGACAGATTTCAGATATCTTATAATTTGAAAACATCGTACACATATGTACAGTCAGTCACAAAAGTTAATCTAATCCAGATGCTTACTTGTAAATATTTTTATAAAATGTCATTTTTTCATAATATTTTTGTAGAACTTTTTAAACAATTGCAATTTCTATAATATTACAAATTTCTTGGCATATACAAACTTTAGCGACTGACTGGATACAGTGATCTTTAGATGTATTAGATGTGGTAATATCTAAGAAGTTTTTTTTTCTGTTTTTATGTTTAGTCACAATATTCAATTACCGAGAGAGACTGCGATAAACCGATGATGGCGTGTTTTGTGGCAGTGTAAACCGGAAGCTGAGCTGTGTTTCGAATATCTATATGCTGGCTCACGTTCACCAATATACCACCGTGACCGCTTGTATCTTTGCTCATATGTTGTATAGCTAGCATTGCCGTGTTGATCATGCCACCCTACAACAACGCGTGTCGCATTAGGATCAAAAGGTATTCTCGTTTTTTTGTTTTATGTTTGTAACTGATTATTTGTTTCTTTTTTACATTTTTGTACATGTTGAAAACGTGGGGAATCAATTTCACGACAAACAATAAAGAAACAACAAGAAATAGAATAGTTTTAGATCAGCAAACAAATAGAGATGTAACAAAAGTAAAAAAGAAATTATGAGATAAACTTTTCACCACACACACACACACAATAAAAAAAACTATTGAGTAAATTACTAATAAAAATTTTATGAACATTAATTTTTGATGGAAATACTTACGATGTTTACCGCGATTTCTTTCTCCCATCTTCGCTCGTCCAAAATACCGGCGTTATTAATCACGATATCGATATTTTGCAACAGCGACAATGCCTCTTTGAAGGCCCCTGTAAATTAGTACGATAAACATGTGAAATGAGATAATGTCGTTTACCGAGTGGTCCGGTGATTATGATGCTCGAACAAACAATTCGAGAATCTGTTGCCTCATGATACTTACCGGTCACTTGCTTGTGATTAGATACGTCGGCGTGTATGAAATGCACTTTCTTCTCGCCGCAAGATTTCTCGATACCGTTCACGATCCGTTTGCCGGTTTCGGCATCGATGTCCAATATAACTATTTTCTGTAGTGCAAACGCGCGAAAAAATAAATTAAAAAAAAAAAAAAAATTATAACAGTACCGATATAAGAGAAAAAACGTGTAATATTTTATAAAATCACAATTTTTCCGTACAACTGCCGTTCTAGTTTTACATCTTCCTGTTTTGTTTCCTATATAGTGCGTTATTTTACTTCTTAAACTTACGTTTGCTCCGTGTTTTAAAAAGTGACCGAGAAAGGCGTGACCCAGTCCTGCCGCTCCGCCGGTGATCAGAACATTTTTCCCGGAGACAATGCAATTAATAGCTTCTATCTCCTTTGCCTTTTCGGAGGCTGAAGAACGACGGCGGAACGATCGCGGAGTTGGATCTGCAACAAAATCTCGGTGAATATAAAAAATACATTTACTTTTAATACACTATCGTAATATTAATATGCATAATTGATTTATTTATAATTGCCTATTTGAAAAACTTTACTTTTCGTTTATCCTCGTTATTGATGTAAAAGCAAATATGAAGGATAATACGAGAAAATGTCAAGTTTATCTTCTTCGATAATGACTCACTCATTTACTTGATGTTTACTGCGCACTAATCTATCAGTTTATATAACAAATCGTTTTTGCATGCGGATAACGTATTATCTTTTCGCGACTGGGAAAATAACTACAATAGTTTTCTCGGATCAAATTTTTATTGTAAACAAAAATTATCTGTCCTATTTTAAAAATGTGTGTGCGATCGAGATAAGTACAAAGTCGCAAAAAAATGCGCAGTTGTTTCGTTCTACTTTTATTTCAAATATTGAATTTTTGCGGCACGTCTTTATTTCAACCTGTTCAGAAAACTACATAAAATTAAAAAGAACGCAGTTTTTGCATTTTACATTGTCACGCATAAAAAAACACTTCATCGAATAGAGTAGATATCAGAACCTGCATGTTTTGTAAAAAAAAAAAAAACAAAAACAAAAACTTCAAACATACCCATTTTCTTTTTCGTGAATAAAACTACCGCGAATGTTCGAGAGGTGCGCAGTATCACTTCTCGGCGAACTTAAATCACCGAAGCGTGGAAATAGGAAAAAGAGAACGAAGAACTGGCGCTAGGCAGCGTATGTACGTTTCGACTGAACTTCGAGACCGGCCTCCGAATGATATTTATACATAAGATAAGCAGTGAGATGTGTAATTCCATGATACCGCGATACTTACAGTTTCCGTTGTGGCGGGGATGTTTCAGAGAGGGTGAAAGGTGGACTCTTCTTTGACTTTTCCAGTTGAACGCACACAGATTCACACGAAAATTGCCAAAAGTCGCCTCGACATTATTGGCAATTTTTTTTTTTTTTTTTTTTTTAATTAGACCATCGATTGTGCGTGTACTCTTGCGTGTGTACTTGGTATTGCTTTTTAATACGTTTTTTACGTTCGACAATATAGTATCGACTATAACGTCAGAGAAGTTGGAGAACGATAATTCACTATCTCCGTTAAAGTGTTCTAATTTAAAAGTACATTTTCATATCATTAAGATAAGAAAGAAGATGATAACTAGTATAAAAAAATTTAAGTATATCAACGAACTTATATGTATATATTACGTTTATTATCTACGACTTTAAAATATGAAATCGGAACGAAAAACAGACTTCAAAGAGACTTTATATTCCACAAACAGTAAAAGGAAGCAACAATGTGGAATCTTTGCTGAGTGAACGGTTTGTTTAAGGAGGTCGATAGTAACTTTTCGATTCTTTGCGCCTATCGCGATTCTCAGTCTTCTCATTATTATTGCGTCTTTTATCTTCCCTCTCGCTGACCAGCCGCGTCTCGTCGTTCTCTTTACACGCCATTCGTGATGGAACGGCTTTTTCTAATTAACCTCTTTTTAATTAATCGCGGCCAGTATTCTGATACGGGGGACGTGAACCGAACAATCATTTCTTCCAGGCGCACTTTGAGATATCGATAGTTGAACATCGTGGCAGACCGCAATGCCGCGTGGCAGATCGTGGTCCAAACAATATATCATTCTAGAGATTGGTTTTTTATTTTTTTACACTTCTCGCGAAGAGAGAACGTACTTTGTAAAAGTCGGGAAAAAGAGATAATTTCTTAATATTTTCTATTTATTTGTGTGCGCAAAAAAAAAAGACAAAAATTAACGTTCGCGATTTTTTGACAGTGATCTTTCAATTTGTAACAATTGTATCTTTATTAATAACAAATTTTCGGTAATATGTATGTTTTTTATCTAGTCTTTACAATTACCAATTTGTCAACAAACTGCAAGGTTCTTAGAACTTCTCTCACATTGCCATTTAATATAACAATTCTTCAAATATACGTCAGCAAATTTCCCGTTCTTCGTTACGTAAATGAAAATCTTGTACTTTTCTCGACATTATGTAATATCTTCAGCATTGTGCTAACAATTTACAACGCAACGAATTAAATGCGCAAAATCAATATGTGCCAGCTAACAAAATTTATTGAAGTCTTTTGCCTTATTCGGAATGTTTAGTTTTGGCTTTTTTTCGTGGAATATATTAGTTTTGTATATTACATTCGATCTCATCTCCCGAACGTTTCATTAATACGAATTTATGGTAGTCGCGGGACAGAAAACTGGCTGGTAGATCGTAGATTACCGACGAAACGAGAACAAAATATCTCTGCCCCTTTTTTACGGCCTGTGCGTCACCCGAACGATACGTTGTCATATTTTTAAATCATCAATTTTTCTTTTTTTATTGCATCAGCAGTAATTTCTATATTTTGCTTACAAATTATTTTTTATTTTAAAATTAAGAAGATGCAATGTGCAATCAAATGGAGCAAATTCAAGTGCGAACAATTGCTTTCTCGAAAATGTTTTTTTTTTTTTTATAGTTTTACAGAAAACCGTGCGGAAATTCGACTAAAAATTGACTAGACGATAGCGACTGACATTTGACGTCGAGTGGTACCACAACTATTCGTGGAATAGCGATATGTGACTCGTGAGGGTCAAATCTAAGACGAACTATGCGGTTCGGACTAACTAGTCATATAATCCATGATGATTGTACGAGATAAACTTTTGTTTGGCGAATCTGACGTTCCACGACGTAACAGAGTTGCGAGAATCCGTTGTAGAGAATCCATACGCAATAGAATTGTTATCGATCGCGTTATCGTCAGCAGTCTATTCCTTCCGTGGCCTTACACGTGGCATTTTTGTCGCTGCAAATTAACAAGACAATTTTTTTACACGTAATCTTAAAATAAAAAATAAAACAACAATGCTAAAAAAAACAATAAAAAATTAACAATAAACATTTAACTAAAGAGATCTAATTTGCGATCTGATTCTTTGATCTCCGAACATGTCGGTGCGTTAATTAAAGACGATGATAATCGTCTCGGTGTCTTCGCAATATTCGCAAACTGCGAGGTCGTTTTTATCGTCAATAGCACGTGGCATCGGGGGCGCACTTTAGAAATAACGCAGTCAGTGCAGTCGTGTGGCACAGAGCGATGATAAGAGCTTGACGTGCGCACAGCTCGTGCGCGCCGCGTCTTATCAATGGAAAAAAGCGCACTTAACGTTCGATCGGCGTCGCGCCGGTGATAAATCAAACGAAGAAAACGCGCGCGTCGTCGGCCCCGAGCCGATATCAATAACCGGTATGCGTCGGTTTTCATCGAACTTTATTCCGAATTGATACAAAAGTAATTTCTTCGTTTGCGATTTTTGTTCCGCCGCGGCTATCGTGTCGCGCGAAAAAAGCGCGAGACGCATTAACGCGTGTTGCGTATATTGATGTGACCGTCTACATTCTACATCAAGTCGAAAGTGCATCATCGGTTCATGACAGAGAGATATACGCGCTCTCGTCGTCTGCGAGAGATTACATTCTACTTACTCCACACTTAATAACTGGTTTGATAACCGATATACGTTATTTGATTGTATGCGTATTGTCATCTATAATGTTAATCAGAAAATGATGGATGTGTGTGTGTGTGTGTGATTTTTACATACACAAAATATAAATCGAATGCTTGATATTGCTAATTTTTTTAAATCAAATGTTAATTAAAATATATTAAACCTATCTCTTTGTGTGTGTAAGGGTATAAATTATAATCAGAAAATTTTAGTGCGCAGTGTACATTGCATTATTGATCAAATTTAACATAAATCTTTTGTGCGAAAAACAAATTTTGTTGCAGTTCAGAGTTTTTACACTGTTACTTAAAAAAAAGATGAAACATATATAAAGCGCTGATTGTAGTACAAAATAAAAATATCTATATTTAAAAATACAATATTTAGAGTATACAAATTATTTTACTATAATTTTTCTTTTAATAGATAACAGATATTTGTTAACAGATATTAGTTAGGCAACAAAATATCTTTTTAACAATTCGAATAATTGATATGTTTTTCAATTTTCGTCGACTTCACTTTTCTTTTGTGGCAGAGTATCGGGAAGCAGCACCTCATAAACGGGTTTTCCATCCTCGCTTATCCACACGCTACCGTTTTGCGCGCATCGAATTATGTACACCAATCCATGAGCCACGCTTTCCACTCTATAATGACAGACATTTTATTTTTATACGTGCATTTTTTAAAGATTTTTGCGAAATTTAAATTAACGATTTAGCGGTACCGCTGCGGTCGATAGTTCTGTAAAACGCTATCAGCGTTCGAAATATCTTCGAAGCCTTCCAGGACTTGTATATCGGTTAAACCGGGACACAGGACGATCACCTTTACATTGGTTCTTTCGTAGTGATAAGGTTGCTATAGGTACAAAAATACAAAAGTAGAACGGCAGTGTTTTTCAAGAATTAAAATTAAGGATGTAAATTATTTTTTTCTCCCAGATTATCATATTTTTAATTATTTTTTAAATCTTGTCTATATTGTTTATTTTGTATATAAATACTTACCGCAAAAGAACGACTAAAACTAACTACGGCGTGCTTTGTTGCAGAATATACCGGAAGCTGAGATACCGCTCGTAATCCGGCAACGGACGAAATATTTACGACGACACCACCCTTACCTCCGCAGTCCTTTCGCATTTGTTGAATCCCCAGAAGAGTTCCACGAATCACAGCTGTCTGCAATAGTGAGATTATATATATTTTCACATCTTGATACATAGTCTGTTATAATTACAAATTATTACATATATTAATTACAAAGTTACTGCGTGTTATACGCTAAATTATTGACTGCCAAAAAAATATTTTAGTCCGACAGATTTACACGATAATTAAATTAAAACAAAAAAATAAAACTTACTACGTTAACATCGATAGTCTTGGAAAAGTCCGTTTCGTTTATTAATCCTGCATTATTTACCAACACATCCAGTCCGCCCAAAATGTTGATTGCCTCTTTGAAAGTGGCTGCAATAATAAATTAATTCATAAAAAACCAAATTTTTCAGAAAAAGATATTTTTGAACACTTTTCAACGCGTTATCTTTTTGTAAATAAATCTTTGCAAATAGGTATACTTACAATCAAATTCAGAATTATTTGTCACATCACAATGGAGAAATACAGCGCGCTTGCGGCCAAATTCACTGTTCAAAGTCTGCACAGCTTGTTCTCCATGAGATTGCCGAATATCGATCATAATTATCATCTAAAAATTAGAAATAAATATTCTTATAATAAATATTCTTGTCTTAATTCTTTAAATCACATAAATAACATTATTTTGATTTTCTATGAATATATTTTAGAATTATCATATATGGTTTACATGTGGAAATAATTAAAATTATATTTTTTCTATTTACAATTGCAGTAACTTTATCTTGGTCCGAGAATAGCGTTACTATTATCTTCGAACGATAAGCGCCGTTATCTATATTTGTCTGAATTACGCACCAACATGGCGAAACTCATCATTAATTTACTTCATAATTATTTAATTAATTTATTTATTTATTAGTATAAAACAACGTTTTTCCGAACGTGAACTTGGTGTGATAAATTATATTTCATTATAGAAATTATATTTCTTTATATATTAAGTATATTGTTAATTAAATAACATACGGAAGCACCATTTCGCAGCAGCTCTCTGCTAAATGCCAGACCTAAACCACTTGCCGCTCCGGTCACTATAACCCGTTTATCTTTGATCTGCATCTTTCTTTTCAATGTATTTCTCACTTACAAAGACTTTGGCTTCTTTAGAAGACGCTTATCAATAACATGTCAATTTCCGTTCACGAACTTTATATTTCTGTAGAGTATACGTGTTTAATTGCACATGTGTGATTAAAAGGCTGAGAGCACCGTCTTTTTTCTGATCACGAACTGTAACGCCAGTCTTCCGTCGGTCTTGAAAGCCTCCTTGTACCGATATGGAAGAATCGTTCTCTCGTTCGACGATCTTCGACCTCACAATCTGCGTGACGTTCGAGTCGTCAGGGTCTTTCGTCGCGCAATATTTGTCATTCACGAACGCAACATCTGAGCATGATGCTCTCATCGCTCTATCGCATAATAATTACTACAGTGACATTCAAGTTCTGATATTCTTTGTAAGGTCAGTGAGATAAAATGACGAATTAAACTTCGTCAATTTTTTTACAAAAAATGTTTACACATTTATATATATGTATATATCGCATTAAAAATTCGTTTTTATATTCTTCAGAAAAAGTGTCACTATCTGTATTTTGTGAAATTAATATAGAGAACTTTGCATTGTGCAAGAATAGATATAACATTTTTATTTTCTTTTGTACAGATCGCGCGAAAAATTCCAGGCTGTGCGTTATCGAAAGAGTGATTCTACGGGAAAAGAATTTCGAACGTGCGCGTTTCGAAGGCGCGGTCGTTTTTTTTTTTTTTTTTTGTAGCGTTGTTCTAAAAATAAAAGGGACCCATATCTCAGTGGCCGACCAGACTGCTACGTGGAGGAAAGGAAAGCCGCCAAATGGTCTGGCGTGGTGTCGTCGTCGAGAGTGCACGTATTTACGCACGTGCGTGAAGGGCACGCACCGGCTGTCGCGCATACCCGCAAAGCACGCAGACGCGCCAATCAATATCGAGCTATACCGGGTGTACACCCCGTCCGTCGCGATCGTCAGTCTCAGCCAGTCACTATCAGCAGCTACCCAACCACACCTTCCGAGGTCGACTCGCCGTCATCAGTTTCAACCCCCTTCGTTAGGTACGAAGAGAGTCACATCGCCTGGTCCGTATCCGTATCCAGAATACGCAAGCTAGCCGGATTGCCGTTACATCTCGTATCCTGTGTTGCGAAACGTCAGCACGGGCGAAAAGATCCAAAAGGTACAGAGAGACGGAGAGAGAGAGAGAGAAACGAATGAACCGGCGAACTTGATCTTGACGCTGAAATGAATGAAAGGAAACATCCGCGAATTCGCGTGAAAACGGAACGTGTAGAATAAATTGAGTTTTTCAGAGGTTTTTTTTTTGAGAATGATTAGATGTGTTCAAGTATTTTATAATTATAATGTTGAAACTACAGAATTTTTTATGATATACTATTAGAGAGTGAAATGTGAATGGGACGCGGGGATTGGAGATCATTGATATGTCGCTTTCTCGATGATATATAGAAAGGTTTGAATGTTGAAGTGACAGGTGAGAGAGGGCGGCGTATATGTATGCGAGAAAAGCGAAAGAGAGAGAAAGAGAAATTGTCCGTGTGCTGCCCTTGAAGCGTACAATGAAATTAATTTTATAATAGATTGAAAATAATTTTAAAAAATTAACAGAAGCGCCCAATACGATCAGAGAATTACAAATATAAAATTTTGTAAAAAAATGTATCTTTTTATCTTCGAGTGATATTACATTGCTAACTCATAATCAGCCGGCATGTGAGATAAAAAGTGAAAACTTAGTTTACTGTAAAAAGAATTTTATACTATCTGATTAATAATTCAGACTATTAATGAGATTTTTTTTAAGTCTGTTTCACGTTGCAAAGTTACGGAGAAATAAATTAGTTTATTAAAATGTATCAGAAAGTTCGATAATTTATAAATAATTTTTAGATGCAACAAAAAAACTTTTCGATGCGTTGCGCTAGTCATGATAAAATATGAATGACACTCGACTGATACTTTGATGTCGCATTAAATAGGTTTTTGAATTTTACATGTGAAGCTATAAAAGGAAGACCGAGATCTAAAAAAAGATGGAAATGAAAGGGCGAGTTGCCCTGGTGACAGGAGCTGCATCCGGCATCGGCAAAGCGTACGCCGTTGAACTCTTGAATCAGGGTGCCAAGGTATAAAAAAATTAATTTGTTTAAAATAAATTTTTGCACATCTGCGCGCGCGCGCGCGCGAGCGTTGTGTTTGTAATATAAACATATTGTCTGTTTTAGCGAAGAAAAGCTAAAATTGTTTTGCTTCGTGCGAGGAAAAACATTCTGAGATTCTTCTGAACTCGTTTTTTTTTTAAACATAAACTGGTTTATATTTAGATTATTTTCAGAGACGACGAAACAAACACTTATCGCTCTCAGTTTCAAAAAAGTCAAAACGCAATTTATTTGTACAAAAAACCTTGATCAAAAAACTCTGCGATTTATCAAAACTGTAAAAAACCTAATCAATTAATACTTTTCGCAGGTTGCTGTATGTGACATTAATACCGAAGAAGGCGAAAAACTGGTGGAGTCGTTAGCCGCGAAATACGGCAAAGATCGCGTGATCTATTCGCAATGTGACGTCACGGATTATCCACAATTCGAAGGTACGGCGGGATCGCTACTCGCTATTTCTGGAAAAACACAAATCTATCTCAGAGATTTAGTTTTACTTACACAAATGACTAGCGCATATACAATTTTATCATTTTGAATTCTCTAATGCGACTCTTACGTAGCATACGATATGCATTTCGATTTACAGAATCGTTTCAGACAACGATCGCAGAATTCGGTCATATTGATATCGTTATCAACAATGCTGGTATCATGAATGACCGATTTTGGGAGCTTGAAGTAGACATTAATCTTGTAAGCAAATTCATCCGTTAGATCTTTCTTTTCAGTGTGTGCTTGCATGTTTCGTCATCTAAATAGCGTGTTTGTAAAAATTAGTGCATTGAGATTAATCTGTGGCGGCACTTTTCGTATAATTTTGCACCTTTGTGTGTGATTGTGAGTTTTCAACGGAGTTTCTCCCATCGTGATGAAGTAACTTTTTTTAATATGTTTGTGTTAACATGACATGTATATATCATCACTTTGAAAAAATTGACGTCGCTGAATACACTTGCAGAACGGGGTAATACGCGGCACTTTGCTTGCTCAACGATTTATGGGCACGGACAGAGGTGGTCAGGGTGGTGTCGTTATCAATACCGGCAGCAACGTCAGCATCAATCCTTACGTCAGCGTGCCAATTTATTCCGCGACAAAAGCGGCCATCGTCAGCTTCACCAGAGCTTTTGGGGTAAGAAGTCACGTTCTCTTCTTCCTGCGCTGTTCTTCAATTTTGCTTATACTATCGATAACAAGTGTTAATCTCGTTCTTACACTCTTCAAATATACAGGATCAGTATCACGTGGATCTGACGGGTGTTAAGGTGATGGCACTCTGTCCAGGTGCCACGGACACGAAATTAGTGCGAGACGTTAATAGGAAGCTCCTCGTGCCTCGATACGAAGTTGCTTGGCAAAGAGATTCCGCTTCATCAGTTCCGCAAAGGTACAAATCCTGTATACATCTCTTGTATGTTTGAGTGTTTTATTATTTAATTATCGTTCTTTGCAAAATTAATATATTTTTGTTTTATTAGAATTTATATTACACATAAAATTTATATTTACGCAAAATTACACAAAATTTATGTAACAAGTGATGGAACGAATATGTAACAAGAATAAATACGTAGATGCGCTATTTAACAAAAAAAAATAAAAATAAAAATATTTGACGCAGGGCGGAACACGTGGCGAAGGCGTTGATACACGTTCTGAGCACCGGCAAGAGCGGAAGCGTGTGGCTGGTGGAGAAGGATCAACCGCCGCACGAGATCAGTTTCGCGAAGCATTAAAAGATCGACGTCATTCACGGCGACGATTCTTCCTCAGCTTCGCTGCAAATATCTATGCTGTACCGCACAATTAATTGTAATTTTTGTATCGAGATGTATCCTGTTCACCTGCCAGCGTCGCGCTACTTTCTTCCCCGAAAGGCGGACGCGAGCGAAACGTAAAAATTATCTTATATACACACATTTTCATACAAGAACTTTCTGAAAGACCAAAACTAAAAAAAAACGTTTTTTATTAACAACGAATGTACTGTTCGTATAGCTAATACCACTTTCGATTTTTCACAGAAAGCGAAGATACTTTTTGGTACGTTTTATACTGATGATAAATCCGCGAACAAAACGCGTGTCACGTTAGGTAAAAAAAAAAAAAAAAGAACCTCGGATTTTTAATAATTGCGAGAAAAAGAAAATCATATTTAAAACAAAAAGTAAGTAAATAAAAAACCTCTGCACGATTTGACCGCGAGATGCGCGTCAACGACACAGCGGGAACATTTATTACCAAAACAAAAAAAAACAATGTAAAACAATGTAAAAACAATGGCTTTCGCTTCCGTCCCGCACCCGCGCGTTGCGTATTTCGCGATTTTTGCACAGGCCTTAAACGACTCGCTCGTCAAGAGAGTTTTCAAAAACCTCGAGAGATCAGTGAATATATAAATCCTGCCGCACATTTCGCAATTATCGCGTACTTTACTCTTTTTTTTTTTTTAATTTTTTTAAATTTTATTTTAATTTTTTGTTCTGACAACCATGCAATGTAATCTCGACGATTTTTTTTATCCATTCCGTTCCAAATGACGTTGAATGTACATGTAATCGCATTTCATTACTCGAATAATAAGTACACTCCGTATTTATTGCTTGTGTGAAAAAAAAAAAAAAACGGAGAGAAAGGGAGAGAGAGAGAGAGCGTGTGTGTGCGAAAGAGATAGAGTGAAAGTTACTTACGTTACTTTTGCATTCTTGAGGCGTACAAAAAGAAAAGAGACAGAAAGATTTGCATGTCTCTCACATTTGATGCAAATAACGCTGGATGTACGAAAGACGTTTCTCATGGAACGTTACCTTTCGCTCTTCTCGTTAATGTAGATTTATTTGAAAAATATCAAATTAATCTGACAAAACTGCTTACACATAAATTAATTAAAGCAAATTAAAAAAGTCTGTAAGATATTTTTTCTTGTGCATCTTGAAAGATTCGATATATCTGGAAAGAAAAAAGCTGCGAATCTTGGAAAGAGATTTACGGAAAATTTTGTACAAGTTGTTTTTTATTCTACACCTTGCAAATTTCTATGATTGCGCGCGTCGAGGGTTGTTTGCATCACTTCTTACAACCGCGAATGCAAATATAAAACCGAACTCCGTCGGATGTGATTACACTGAAAACTGTATATCCAATCGCGTCTGTATAATTTTTCTACAGTCTTTTAAAGGAGATAAAACTATTTAGAGACGATATAGAGCGATAGAATTAGAATCTGCACACACGGTCCAATCACGACGTTCGATCTCATATTTTTTCGATGTTAGAGGTATTAGAGCTCTTAAAACAAACACACATCGCGTATAAGTTGCGCAATTGTATATCGTATTGCAAAAAAAAAAAATCTCGACAGATCGATCGGATATCTAACGAGTTTCGTTCGAAAGATATCGAGTACCCAATATTCTTTCTAGCTTTTAATCGATGATTAGTCGCAATTGTTGATTTTGTTTTTGTTAAGTGTTTATACACAACGGTATGTATGTTGCTAGCCTTTGCCAATAAAATGCATTGCCTTTTAATAAGAATAACCGGACCAGCAATTTCTCTCGCAAGTGTAAATTTTTTTTTTTAACGAGAATTATTTCACTTTTTTCTTTATTCTTTTTCTCTTTAAAAATTTTAGATCCTTGCAAATAAAACACTTTTCTAAATTTTATCTCAATCTTTTCGCGCTGAGATAATAATTTTATCTCAAATAAAACAAACTTCTGTTAATGCTGCACCCATCGATTTCCACGCATCTCCCTCGACATCTCGCGTTGAAATATTCTTTTTTTTTTTTTTTTTCTTATACCTATCGGCGCAAATCCGATCTTGTTTACCTCGAGAACGGGTTCGCATTATCCTATCTGTGACTCCTATCACTATCCGATATTCTATCACACACGATCGACTTCTCGAATTTCTGCGGCTTGGTCTCGAGAGCCTTGGACGATCATTTATTTGCGGATAGGTGCTTGACGAGATTAATCCGTCAGTGTGATTGCAAAAATCGCGTTAGCGGGTAATAAGCTCTTCGATCGTGTCTGCGATGGAGATTCAGGAGAAAACCGTGCTTATCACCGGGGCGGCTAATGGAATCGGTTATTGCACCGCTCGAGAATTGCTGCGAAGTGGAGCGAAGGTAAAAGTCAAATGTATAAAAAATTAACAAGGGTGCGTGTTTTTGTGTGCGTCTTTTTGTGTGCGTGTGCGTAAGTCTCTTTTACAAATACATATACACTCTCTGATATAAGAGAGAAATATTTAAGATAAATTGTAGCACTTGTATATCATTTAATGTAATAACTGCGTATTGCAGGCTGTCGCAATCGTAGATCTGCCAGATTCGAACGGTGAAAATGTTGTGGAGGAGTTGGAGAAGGAATTCGGCGCGAATCGCGCGATTTTTCTCGCCGGAAACGTGACGAAGACCGAAGAGCTTACAAGTATATCAACAAGTAACTCACTGTCGAGTGTGTTTCACTTGTGACAAAAAAAAAAAAAAAAAAAACAATTTTCATTTTGCAGCTTGTTTCGAGAAGGCGGTGGAATCACTTGGCACGCTGGACATTGTCATCAATAACGCCGGTATAATGAATGACGCGGATTGGGAACCGATGATTGACGTTAATTATGTAAGAAAACAGAGATTTTGCTGTGCTCAAAAAGAAAACTTATTGTTGGATTATATTTACAATTTGTTTGTCGCGCTTTTATATAAAACGTAGTTTGTAAAAATATATCACACAGAATGGAATTGTTCGCGGCACGTTACTGGGTCTGAATCACATGGGAAAGCACAAAGGTGGGAACGGTGGTACCGTCGTCAATATGTCCTCTATCGCGGGCTTGCAGAGCAATCCGATCGCGCCGATCTACGCCGGGACGCAGTTCGGTGTTGTCGGATTCACAACTTCGTTACAGGTAAGGCTCAATCCGGTAAATGTGTAACAAACTTAAGATTGTAATATTTTACAGTCAATTTAAAATTCATCTCCGTTAGATCTTTTTTTTTTTTTTTTTTACATTAAAGTGATTTGGAACTTGTCGATTTTTAACTATTTATCTTGCTCGAAGAAGTCAAACAATGCTATTTAGTAACACTGATCGCTTGCGTGTTCTCCAAGAGCAGAAGTTTTACGAGAAAACAGGCGTACGTGTGTTAGTGATATGTCCCGGTCTCACGAACACCGGTTTGGCCAACAAGTTCATGTCGAGCAAAATTTACGCGATGGATATCGTCGACGACGAGATCGCTGCCAGAGAGATGACGACAATGGAGATCCAACCGTGAGTCAGAATTTTTTATACTAACCTGTCTGAATAATTTGTTTTGTTTAAAAATTTACGCGATGTATCGTGTTGTTTCTTCTTGTAGACCTGAGCAAGTGGCGACTGCTATCGTGGAATTGATTGAGAAGGGTGAAAACGGCGCGGTCTTCGTCAGCGAAAACAATCAGCCTCCGTACGCCGTGAAATTACCACCTTACGCCGATCTGAAAGTTTCGGTATAAAAGTTAAAATTCACGGCAAGTTGTCTTTGGTACGAATCGCACAAACAAAATATTGTCTATATTATATTATATAAACTATTAGTTTTTCTCTTTGAAAAACAAATGATATTCTTTCTCTCATATATCGCCGCTTGTACTTTGTATTAAAACTGAAATAGTTGTTATTATTATTGATACAAGCAATATTCAACAGAGTATAATATAATATTTAATAGATGTGTTAGAAACGTAATAGCAAATAATAGTTTAGCAAAGCAGCTAATATATATATATATAACTAATATATATATATATATATATATAGCTAATATATATATATATATATATATATTATATCTACTGTTACGTTTCATGGGAACAAATAAATGAGAATAAATACATATAACAACAAGGATCGTGAACCTTTTTCTCGCATCTTTTTTCACAAACGCACGCTAAATGTAAAATTTTCGAAACACTAAATTTCATGGAGAACATGAAATTATTAAAATATCTGCATGTAGTATTAAGATAAAAAAAAAAAACTGATAACACAAGTAAAAAGAAAATTGCGCCTGAAAGATGCGCACTTACGTGTTACGCGCGCACGAAAGCGATGTTTCAAGGTGCGCTCGCTTTGGGCGCTTACGCGCTTTGTGAGCGTCAGTCTATCTTTATTCTATATTTAAACAACAATAAAGACAGACTGACGCTTAAAGCGCCCAAAGCCAACGCACCCTCAATTTTGTTTGTTGAAAATATTTCAAAACGTACAAATTACAATTTTGTGTAAAATGCGTAAAACTTGCGCGTTATTATTGGTCAAATTCCAATCCTCCATTCGCATCCTCAATTTCCAATGTTGTGTATAGATTGGGATTCGACTGATTGAACACTCCTAACTTTCTGCACCGATTGCTCGAGTTTCCATGCACCCTTCGATCACGATTCTCACAAATCGCGATCTCTCTGACGCCGCTGTCCAATACAGGCTTAAGGTGTGGCGGCGTGACGTCACGCACTGCCGCTACCGCACATCAAAATGGCCGCATTTTAGTCTACAGAGTACTTTTCTTTACTGTTTGCCAATAGCTGTGCTGTGGGCCTGGCGGTGTTCGTTCACCCTAGACGGATCTGTTTCGCCGGAAATTTCGCCGTGTCGATCGACGCGCATCAAATTTCCGTGAAATAGAACTAACGTGACCGGGTAAGGGTGAAAGAAGTGAAGAAAAAAAAATGCGTGTGACCGCGCGCGGCGCCGCGTGCGCGGCGTTCGATGAGGTCGTGCGGGTTCCGGAGCCGTCATCGTCACCGCCGGACCAAGCCCATTCGATCGGGAACGAATTTTATTTATAGACGGGAATCGGGCGGTCGCGCGTTTGCACGCGCGTCGTAAGCGTGCACGCAACTTCGTGCGTACGATATTGCGCGCGGCAGCGCAACGACGTGCCGCAAAATCCTGCGTTTTACCCTGTAAATAAGCCGCTTGTTATACCGGCTCGCCCTTCCTATGCGGGAAGGTTATCTCGAATTTTACATGTCACCCAAAAAATAATCATGCCCGCTAAGAACCTCCGTGAGCGCGAAACGTGAGATTTCCGTTCTTTTAGAAAGAGCCGACAATCGAAACTGTTGTATACAAAAAAATTGAATTTTTCTTATAATAAATTTTTTGATTATCGTAGTTTGCTATTAGGATTGATAAGATAGCTTGATGACTACACTGTTCTTTCCTATCTTTTACTTTTGTCAGTTGACAGATAAGTTGTAGAGAGATCGTAGATGTTTTATTTGTCTCTGTGGAATAATTAAATGTAGAAATCATGTTTCTGCTGACAAGCACAATTGGCAGAAAATCAAACTGTTTAGCCTGCTGATTGCTACATGAATGTTTATTAATAAAAGACACATATGTTACATTCTTGAGCGTAATAAAATCTTGTTTTCTTAACAGATTGTGTTTGAGTGTGTGAAAATTTACTTGTGCGCATATGTATGTGTATGCAATATATATGTGGTTTTTACAATTTTAAAATTAGATAGAACATAATTGTGTTTTTGCAGATTTTCCTGTATAGATTTCCATCAAGATGTTACATCATCAGCATCATGCAATGCAAAACCAGCTTCGAGATCATAACAGGTTAATGTTTCATAATCACTTATGTTATGGTGTTGCGAATAAAAATAATTTTGTTGAGTGAAAAGTTTTGTGTATAATTGTTATCAAAATTGATGGCTTTGCAGAATGGCAGGACCGATGCGGCCAATGCAGCAAGCTACAATGCCCCAGCTACGTCAGCCGCAGCATCTGCTGCCGCATCGGAATCCCCATCAACCAATACTATCCATGCCTCATCATCAACAGCATATGCATCACATGCAGCATCCTGGCCCGCCGCATGGAAATCCAAGACAGCAAATGTTGATGGGCATGAATGCACATAATACAAACAGTAAGACGTAAACAGTGCATGAAAAAAGTTGTGTTTCTTCATTGGTGATGTGAGAAGTAATTCCATTGAAAAATGTTTATTTTCAGATACCATGGTCAGTGTCAGCATGAAAGATCAAGTGAACACAGTTTCTGTGACTCTTCAAAATGTGCAGCAGCCTCAGTATCAGCATCAGCAGCAACATCAACAGCAACCGCAACAACAGCATCAACAATCAAATAATCAATCGAGTCAATCTCCACAACAACAATCATCACAGCAACAGCAGCAGCAAGTGCAACAATCACAATCTCAGCAACAACAGTCACAGCACGTGTCGCAGCAATCAAACGTGGAGCAGTCGAAGGCGGTAAATGACACTAATGGAGAATCCAGAGACGAAAATTCACCTAATCAGAATCACAACAATGCAACTAATCCAGCCTTGGCAAACATGAAAGAAAAAACACCTATGTGTTTATTGAACGAGTTGGCGAGATTTAATAGGATTCAACATCAATATAGACTAACAAACGAGCAAGGACCGGCGCATAAGAAAAGATTCACGGTCACACTTAAACTTGGCGAGGAGGAATATGTCGCAGAGGGTCCTAGCATAAAAAAGGCTCAGCATAGCGCAGCGACCGAGGCATTAACTAAGACTTGGTACCGTCAACCTCCGCCTAAACCTACTAAGGCTATGAGGATTGGTCATTTGGGCAAATCTCCAACAGGTTCTGGTAATTCTATACATATATATATATATATATATGAACTCTGTGCCTGTGTTTGGAAAATCATACAGAATTTCATATTTACGTATGTTGTTTTTGTTCCTTAATATTACCAATTTGGACATGTTTAGTAGTTGCGAAAATAATGTATGTCTTATGGTACTCTATTAATTTAATATCAATTGTAGATTATCTTCCATCAGTTTAACAGTTTCTATCTTTTATTTTTTAATAAAAATTTTAAAAAATGGAAAAAAATTACAACTTTTAAATTGATGTAAAACAATCTACAATGGATGTGCTAAGTTAATGGAATATTATAACATTTTCATATTTACTAAACGTGTCTATTGTGTGTAATGTATGTAACATTGCTTTTTTTTTTTGTTATAAAATAAGCTGAATTCTCCACTAAATTGTACGTAATTATACGATTGTAGGTCATTTACCGCCCACTGTCGAACTGAACGCTTTAGCAATGAAGCGAGGCGAACCAACTGTTTATACGTTTCGGCAAGCGCCACCAGCCGCATTACAGCATCAATTTATGCCACACGGTTTTGGTAACTTTCCGCGAATGTACAATCCGCGACTCACGTACAATCGTGGAGTCCACACAGACCTCCAGGGATTGTATCTTGTCACTCTAAAGGTTGGCGAACGCGAATTCACTGGTAGAGGTATGACCGGTCAAGCCGCACGTCACGATGCTGCCAGTAGAGCGTTAGAACAATTGCGTCAATTGCCGTTGCCAGAAGAGGTCGCAAACACCAGCAACGTTAGTGAGAATGGTACGCTGAGCGGCATTGATGATCCAAACGCTGAATTGAAAAGTCCTGTGTCTCTGGTTCATGAAACTGCTCTGAAACGCGGCTTGCCGGTCAGCTTCGAAGTCGTGTCCGAAAGCGGTAAGCCTCACATAAGAACCTTCATGACAAAATGCACCGTCGGTGAAAAGGTTACTGTGGGAGAAGGTTCATCAAAAAAGGTAGTTTTTCACGCAGAATGAACAATTATATAATATACATAATGATTGATTAATAAAATGTGTTTTTTTTCTCAGGTCTCAAAAAAACGCGCCGCCGAGTTAATGTTAGAAGAACTGAAGCGTCTTCCTCCATTGCCTCCTGCTATTCAGAATCGATCGATGCGAGTAAAACGTAAGCCACCAGCGACGAAGAAGAAGTCCCGTAATTTAATCAAGGTTTATCAAGAACCTCGTTCAGAAAACGAAGTCGCGGAGGAGGTCAACCCGGTCTCACGGTTGGTCCAAATTCAGCAGGCAAAACGAGAGAGAGAACCGGTCTATAATCTGATAGACGAGAAGGGCGCGCCGAGGCGCAGAGAATTCGTTATGGAAGTAACAATGGGACAGCACTCTGCACAAGGAATGGGACCTAATAAGAAACTGGCTAAGAGAGCCGCAGCCGAGGCTCTTCTGGCGCAATTGGGATACAGTAAGCCATCGCCGCAGCCCGTGAAACCGTCTATAAAGACGGGCGATAGCGAGAACTCGACAGAATCTAAGCCCAGGAAAGTGACCTTTCTGGAGGACGAACAAGTAAACGACACTCAACCTCATTCGGTAGGAGGTAAGATAGAACATCGTTTATTGTGGTTTTGATAATATTTAATACGTTATCACATCTTTTGTCAGGTTCTATAGGCCGCCAGTTAGTACCTGGTCTTTTACTCGTGGACGGAGGTCAAGAATCTAAAATAGGAAATGGACCGAGTGTACAAATAGTTGCTGAAGAGTTGCGTGGCCAGCAACAACAAAACTCGGCTGGTGTTTCGCCCAAGGATCAATTGCACTATTTATCCCAGTTATTTAATTTCTCCGTAGAATTCAACGATTTTCCTAAAGCTTTTTCAAAAGTAAATCCATTGATTTGTATTAAATTAAATTATATCTATATTAAATTATATATAATCAGTATTCAATCAAAATAATTTAATATATAAAACATGAAAACGAAACAATACAATGACGCGTTTTACTCGATTAACGTTACAGGGAGTCTCTATAAGCAAGGAATATTTATCATTGGTAACGCTGAGCACCGATCCACCGCAAGTTTGCCACGGTAACGGAGCGACAATAGCAGCAAGTCGTAATCAGGCGGCATTAAGAGCGCTTCGTACCCTCAGTAAACTAGGACTCGATAACGCCTCCAACGCAACGCAAGTGAAGAAGGACAAAGGTGCGTCTGGTGATGGAATACACATAAGTATTCAGGTTAAAAATAATATTATGGATGGAGCTATCGATAAATAACCGAATAGCACTTAAGGCTCATATATGATGTTGAGTTATATTTATGGTTCTTTAAGACACTGCGGAAAAGAGATAATAATTGGATTTTTATTGTAAAGTTCATTGACACTTGATAAAATTTTCTTTACATATATTTGCCAGTTTTATTTAAAATATGTGAAATGATTTGATTGTATCGAGTCTGGAATTTAACTATCACTTTGCATCTTGAAAAATTGTTACTTTTTTTTATACTTTATAATTTGTGTCTACATACATACTACTTTCTGGGTGTAGCGATCCCAACTATATATTTGTAATTGCCAAAACTGTTACAGAGAAACTTGCTGAAGATTTTAAACGAACTATTGCTTGATCTTGATATTTTCATAAAAATATCTTTATATACGCTTGTTCATTCTGTTAGGTTGCTCATAGAAGAGAGTTGGAAACAGAAATCAATTTTAATCAAGTTGTATGTACAATTAATGTTGAATCAAATTTTTATATCGATTTATATGATCACTCAAGTTCCACAACAGCAGATGTATGTGAAGCTCTCCGATCTTTCGCAGTGTCTTAATTATATTGAAATGTTGGTCAAGCATCGATGATGTGTGTAATAATTATACGAGAATTCTTTTAATGAATGGAAATATCTAATCGATCATAGTAGACGAAAACACGAAAAAACGCAACTTTCGTGACTACAAACATGCTATCATGCTGTGGATTGTAACAGTTGTTTATTTTATCATTAAATACATCCGCGTACATTCATTTCTTGCAAAATTATCAATAATAATACTTGTGATTAAATCGTGTGGAATATCATTGGTGCTTGATCGTGATTGTGATTCTAGCAGTGATAGGTATAAATTGCTAAATTTATTGTAACGTATGTATTCATTGACGGAATCACAATCTTAAACATACGTACACGGTAATATAAAATGATCATTCTCCAAAAAATGGTTTATGATCATTGAATACACAATAGAGGAACATATTAAGGAAAAAAAAAAACACAAAAAATTATACGATCTGAAGATGAAATGCGACCATGTTTTACTTTTCGAGAATTTCCTTTCTCATTATCGTGAATAAAACGCTATGTCTTATTACCTAATATCAATGCAGTGCTTTTTTCATTTTTTTTTTTTTTTTTTTTTTTTTTTTGTATTTGCATATTTTTGACTTTCATAAATTGTCGATTTATTTTGTGTGTGATGTATATTGTTTTGTTATATATTACATTGAACAAACCGAGTTAAATATTGACATTCTATGAAGTCGCATACGAGAATTATACATAAAAATATCACGTCTTTTTCCAGAGCAGACTCTGGCCACACGCGCTAGAGACACGTGCCGATTAAACAATTGTGTAAAAGATTAAATAGTTAACGTTTAAATTGATTAAAAAAAACAAAAAAACAAACCATAGGTAATGCGATATTGTCTCTACGCCCCAATTTGCTTTTTTCGGGGGCCAGAAGCATTCTGGGGTTTACATATTCATGTATCCTTAAAAACATTGAGAAGTGAAAGAAATAGAAATTTCCATACACCTATCGTCCAGAAGTAGATGATGATACGTTGTATCGGAAATTTCCTAATGAAACTAAGCAACAAAAAAAAAAAAAAGAGAAGAGAAGGTAATAATACAAAATTCGCTCCGTTGCATCGAGATCGTTACACAAAATTGTTTTGATCTTGCTAAGAAACAGTCTCCTCCTGTGCGAGAAACAACGGCGAATTTTGTCTTGGTTGAGAAGCGAAGAAAAGATAGAAGTTTCCGTACATCTATTGTTCATACAAGTAAGACGGTAACAATACGCTGTATCGGAAATTTCGCTTGAAATTTAAAAAAAGAGAAAAGGTAATAATTCAAAATTTGTCCCGTTGCGTCAAGACTATTACAAGTTGTCATAATTTTGCTAAGAAATAATCCTGAAACAACGGTGAGAATTTTGTGCTGTTGCCGAAAAGAAATAAGAACATTCGAGTGGAAGAAATTCAATAAAAAAAAAAAACAAAACAAATAAATAAATATTGAGAAACGGTACAAACTTCAAATATTCGCGAAATTTTTACTTTTCGAACTTTAAGTTCCCCCCGTACACACATCACACGCGCAACAATGTGTAAACGTTGTCTTTTGTCGACAATGTAATGACATACACATACACACACACACACACAGGGCTTTGTACCGGCGTTCTCAACCAAGTAGTTTGCTATGTCTTCTGCTCATTGTTCGTATTACATACGATTTATTGAACAACAAATACAAAAAAGGTTAGTGGAAAACTGTATTATTGTTCATTAAATACGTGCACACCTTATACTCATAATGCCCGATACCCGGTACATAAGTTTGTAACGAGTGTCCGCGACGATTGATCTATTGAATATTTACGAGTTCGATTAATTGTATATTAGCGAGTTTGATTGATTCGAACGCTGGTTAAAAAAACATCCGCTGAAAATTATTTATTTTTATTGACTCTTCAAAACTCTAGTTGAGTTTTTGTGCCTGATACTGATCGCTTTTATAGGTGAGCCTTTCTTGTTCATGTGACATTCAGTATTATGAGACACAGTAGTAGATTCCATTTATACATATAATTTTTCAAAAGAGAACAGGGAGAAAAAAATACAAAGAGAATGAATGACGGAGCGAACTGAAAGAACAGTGTCGTGTGCGCTATGCAAGAAGAGCGATTTTATGCCTGTGTAAACTGCAATACCGTATAGCGTTAATATTAATGATAGATAAACGATTAACTGATCGATTTATCGAAAAACGAGATCCCTCAAAGAGAGCCCGTATTAAAAAGTTGATATCCAGCGTGTATTGCTGGATTTGATCTGCAAAGTGTGAAATTTCGGAAAACAGTGGCACTGGCATTGGCTAAAGAAAAAGAATGACTGATGAATATCAGTTTTGTTTTGCGTGATTTACGATTTGCATTCTACTTTGTATTTCATTTTAATGCAGTCACGCATATATAAACGTTACGACATACTTTTGGTTATTTTTAAATAGAACATTTTTTAATTAGATCATGCTATCACTATTCGTGCGTTCTTCATTTTAATTATTATTTTTGCAAAATAATTGTTAAATGATAACTATATTATTTATATAAAATACGCAAAATCCTCTCAATTTTGCACTTGGTTGATTCGATATATATGGAAATGTAAAGATCCATGCACTCGATATAGTTCTGTTAGATTTACATCTAAGTAAAACGATTTGTTCATAGATATGTTTGTATACTATGTGTGCGCTGTATGAAATAGTTATACATAATGCGAGTTTTCAGCGGTCTTTTCAATGAACATAAGTGCTTTTTGAATAAGTCCGTTTTTGAAGAATATCGGAGTGAGACAAAGTTTTACTTGCATTTTGAACATAAATTATACGATAGGAATCTACTGCTTTCCTCTATCCACATCAGTTTGTATGTAACGTTGATAAACAACTGTAGAAAGGTTTCACATGTATATGGCCTTTTTACTGTGCGTTTCAAATATACGCATGACAAGGTGGCACACGAGATTTTGTGTATATAAAGTTTATTTACCTTTCCTTTTCACGCGTATAAAAAAAAGTTTTTAAATAATGTTTGAAAGTATAAGATGTTCTATTAAATATCACTCGCACTTTTTGAAAAAGAAAATTATTAAATATATACGTATACATATATTTATCAATAAATGATCTACATCCTAAAATCGGATAATTCTAATTCTTGCAATTAGAGAATTGCAAGTCTATTGTTATAGTTTCATTGAGAGCTACGCAAGTTTTTAAAAATATTTTTTTTTTAATCTGTTAATGTTTTTAGAAAGTTTTTCAATCAACTGTGTGATATAAGTAAAAATAAAGTACTCTATCGATCTCTAATTTCAAAAACAATGAAAAAAGTTATCGAGACGGTGATAATATGTATTTAAATATTATTGGCGTATAAAGATTTATTTAATAGCGACGTTTTTTAAAACATGCTGATTAGATATCAAATATATAGAAAATTAAAAAATTCTCTATCTAATAGCCAATTGTTTTCTATTGTAATAAATTTTTTCTATTACATATAATAAAGGAGTAATTATTGAATAAATCAACCCAATCAGCGCTGACCTTTAGCCGAATGCACGTCAGTGAGCCGCGCGGAGCGCTCACGCACACCAAGCGCGTGGTTCACTGACCTGCGTTTGGCTAAAGGTCAGCGCTGATTGGCTTGATTTATTCAATAATTACGCCTTTATTATATTTAATAAAAAAAAATGGTTCAGGACTTTTCGACTCAGTTTTACTCTTTCTATCTGCCTACGAGAGATTTTACACTAATTGTCGGACACCCTGTATATATATACAGAGTATTGACTTACTTAAAGTAATCACATTTCCGCTTTTAATTGATATTGCTTATATGAAATCAATAAATACAAGGAAAGTGATAGCGATTGTGATAAACATCAAAAAGTCGTCGTTCTACATTAATCACAAAACGCAAACGCAATGGGAGATGCAAATGCATGCATATAAATGTGTTCGTATGTAAACTTATCGAACTATTACATAGTGTAAAAAATTAATTAAACGGTAGAAAGTAATAAGAAAATTTTAATGCAAATAATATTTTTATTATAACTAAAATATTACAACTAAATTGAATGAATATCTTTTTGTAAAACATACATAATAATCATCAACTCGTCACTTAACATTTTATACATACGAATGATAGATTACCATATATTTTCACATAACACTAAATGATATTGCATGATATAAATTTTTCTCTTACATTTCATAGAGTTTTATACCTAGATACTGTAACTTTATTTAACGCATGATTTATATTCATATTAATATGTGTACATTCATATTAATGTGTGCTATATTTAAATATATATTTACCTATAGCACACATATGTTGCAGGCATACAATATATATAATAATATAAATATTGTATCTTAATAAAGAAACGAATTTACTTGATGATTAACAACCAGCAAACTATTGAATGTTAAAATCCGAAAACTGCATTTCCGATTTTAATCATAATCAGTAGTCTTTATCAGTAGTCTTGTTATCATAAAATAAACTCACTTCATAAATATAAGAATTGAACACAACTAATTCATAGAGTTTTTCGACTACAACATTTTGTTTTACAATACAAAAGGCACATTAACACAAAAAGAAAACTTATTTAGTTACGCTTTTGTAATCAAGGAAATAGTGGGCTGCTATAACGTAAGTAATTGTTTTGCATTGTAAATAGAAAATAACGACGGTATTCAACTTTTTCTTTAATAGCATCTAAAACAAATAGTCCCTAAAACAGATTACAAAATATATTTATTATAAAAATTATATATTTGTGTATAAGTTTGATAAGAGCCATAGAATGTATTTTTAATAGAAAATAAGACTAATAGTTTATACAGAACTTATTATGTTTTTCTTTCTGCTTAGTCGTTTAGTAGCTTATATATACATGTAAACAAGCAAACAAAGTAACGTACAATTACATACAGATATTAAAATAATATTTATAACATTCGATAAAATCGCTTACCCAGTGATTTAAAAACTTTTGCTGTAGTAAGAAACTTTCCTCGCTAATCTGAAAATATTTTGTGCTATTATCATTAAGTGTAATGTATTTGTATTGTGTGAAGACACATAATATTATACATTAAAATACATTAATTTATTACACTAAAACAATTATGGATAGATCTATAGACAACTATATCTATAGATCTATGCACACACGTACCCATATAAACAAAAAATTTCGGTTTTACATATATCGCTATAAAAAGTGAGCAATAAATTCATACAACATACCTTTGACAAGCCTTCGTCTGAAATACGTTGTTAATAATAACATTTATTATTGCTAGCATGTTCACGTCTCTATCAAAATAAACAACAGATTTAGTGGTAAAATTCAAGTGATAAAATTACTGATATACATTATACAATATAACATGAGACAACAATGTCTGTTTCGATAATAAATCGATTATATAAAAATATGCAGATTATGTAAATCAATTATTCGTATACTGCATGAAAAGTCCAATACATAGAAAACTATTATTTCACCTTCCTATTCCATGTTCTAGTTCGTATATTATAATATTCAGCGCTAAATTATTTTTTGAATGCAAGGCAAAAATATTGAAAAGTAACGCAACAGTAACACTTTTCGTTTTAGGTATAATACGTTTGGTGGCTCTTTCTTTTTTAAATAAACTATCGTCAGGTATTGATAAAGAGTTCCTATTAATGGAACGAAGAAAATTATACATATTTTCGTATTTTCTAGAGCAAGGTAAGAGCTGGAAGAATTCTTGTACAACGACATCAAAAGAACTTTTTACTGAAATCGTATAACGATAGTATGTACTATTTATTATAATTCTACAGATACAAAGCTCAAATTTTTATATATTACTGTCGGATATTTGCGTTAAAAAAGTTATATTTTATATTTTACAACAATTGAAAATCTACAACAAATATAATAGTACAAAAAAAGAAAAACTTACCATGTCTTTTATATCCAATGCATTAAGATGAATATCTTGCAAATACTGTTGCGAACTTCTAGTACGATAAGATCAAAAACGTATCGCCTACGCGATCTTACTTCTTCGAGAAATTCTCGATAACTAAGAAACAATCGTTTCTGTGGAATAAAAAACTACGTGCCACGAAGTAAACATCTGTGTTTAGGAAAACGACCTTATTTTTGTTCTCTTCTGTATACATATAATGATAGAAATAGTAGTTTTATATATCTTTTTCACACACACACACACACACACACACACACACACACACACACACACACACACACACACACACACACACACACACACACACGGTTGAATATGAGAATATAATTTTACATACAGTTTTATTTAATAATTAAATTGTTTTCGTCGGAATCTACATTTGAAATAATTTAACTGAATTTGAAAGTAGTTTGCAATAATTTTTAATGTGCTATTGTTTTACTGATAAGAAATTCAAGGAATATGTTTGCCAACAAAATGTGTGATGTATTAAAAATAAAAGAAAAAATCATTTCTGGATAAATGAAAAATAATATTTTCTTCTACTCATAAAGATGGTGAGACAGTTTGTGTTACAAAAGTAATAAATAATGTATAAAACTATTTCATTTTCTCAAAGGAATAAATCAAATATTGAAGAGATACTTATGGGATAAGGATAAAGGGATTTTTATTGATTCCCTTTAAGGCTACAATTTTTTTTTTTTAATATTCCTCTTCCACATCTCTCGCACTCAATTTTAAGCTGATTCGAGAAACCAGATTCAGTTTGCTTTTTCAATCGATAAACTCGACTTAAAAGAGAGTGTGGATTCGGAAAAATCCGACGGATTCAAACTCGGGGACCTCCTGCTCACAGGCATCGCATTCAGGGTGCGAGACCACTGGGCCGGTCATGAAGAAATGCTTATGTAATCAGACAATATTTTTACTTAAAAGACACTTCATCCCTAATTCTTAACACTTCGCTTTATTTTGAATTGGCAAAAATAATTTGAATTCTGACGGCAATTCATCTTCTGAATACAATCGATCAGAAAAGTACACTCGTCGTATCCTACAATTAGCATGAATTTGAACTCTTAATGTCTCCACGTAATTTGTTCCATAAGCTCGGCGTGTGAAATCAGCCAAATTAAATTGTATTTGATTCCATCCGTCATCTAATCTCATTGGCATAGTACAAATAAATGGTTTTACTCTTGTTGTAGATTGGTAATTGCTAGCACGAAATCTACGACGTACATTTTTATCATCAATTATCTGCAATATGAAAGAAACATTCCTTTAGAATTCCTTATTGTTTACAAAAAAGATGATACAATACAAAATTTACCTGAACTTCAAATGTGAAGTACTTCTTTAAATTCTTGATTATCATAACCAAGAAGGGTAACTTGATACCTAAAGTTTTTCTTGGATCCGCTGGACATGTAATGTATGTTGTGCTAACATTGCTGCCCAATATTTCCAAAACAAGACTCTGAATGTCATTATCGGTTATTCTCTTGATATGTCCGTTCCTCACCTTCTTATCCCAGATTTGCAGAGGTTTGCTGCCAATACTGTACAGAATGGACAGAAACCCACTTTGAAAAGTATTTTTGAACATTTTTAAGTCTGTGTTCGTTTTATTGTTATATGGTAAATTTTTCCAATATCCCCGAGCTAAAAGCTCTAGTCTTTTAATGTTTTGTCTCAAGCCTGTAAAATATATATTTATACATTAAGTACGACAACATTTATAACAAATTTTCCGCTCAGACACAAAATCGTGCAAAAATTTAAGATCCCAACCTTCTTCCACCTCATTTCAAAAAAAACTAAATTGAGAATACTGAATTTAAGAGAGTCATGCTTCTTCTTGAAGTAAATTTTCCGCTCTTTGTTTATCAGTTTTCATTCTATCTTAACATATTAAAAACTACTGAGATATTGATGTATTTACACAGAGAGACAGATTTTTTAACCTATAATTCGATGTTTGGTCGATACGTTAGTATTGTTCGTTTTTGTTTTTTTTATTGAGAGAATAAAGGCACACGCCACAAGTGCTCGCTTATGTGGCTTAAGGTTAGAGTTAGAATACAGTTTATAAAATATACATCTAGTAACAAATTAAAGTTCCTATCGAGGAGAAGCATGTATAGGGTGCGTCTCCTTAGTTACGCCAGAGAGAAGCCTGAGGGCGACGTCCCATTGAGCGGAAATCTATAGCGGAACGGAATGTGCGGAACCAGCTCGACCAATCGTAACCACAGAAAAAGCGAAGGAAAGAAAACGGAATGGCTATGATTGGTCGAGCTGGTTCCGCACATTCCGTTCCGCTATAGATTTCCGCTCAATGGGACATCGCCCTGAGAGCGGCCAGGTCCATAAGAAAATGTGTAATCACTTTTCCGCCCCGTAAACTAGCGCATGTCCACAGGTGGTACACATTGGAACTACGCAGCCAGTCCACGAGCGACATGTCGGTATGTCCACAGCGTGCGGTTCTATTCTGTGCTATGTGCACGAGTTTAAATGGTCACTTTCTTTAAGTGTGTGAGTATATTCGAGAGCGTGAATTTGATTTTTTTTGAAATTTAAAATGACCGATCTC